AATAGTTACAATAAGTAGATTTTGGAGAATAACCAGAGAACATTTGAATTTAAATTTCTTAAACATGTTGTAGGATCAATTCCCAAGCATGATCAGCTCAGTGTGCTGGAAAGAATTACGGGCAGTTTTAATTGGACATGACTTTAATAAGGAAAGTCCGGAAGATCGATCCCCTGCTGTCTTGCGTCATACCACAGCAGCTTTAAACGGTGCACGTATGAAGTCAGCCATATCCCGCTGTTTCTTCAGACATGTTTTAAACACTCTGCATGTCACAGTGTCAACATGCAGACCACACACTTCTGGGATTAATAAAACAAGAGCTAATAATGAATGGCATTGTTAAAAGATGAAGGCTTGGGAGCTTAATACTTTATGTTTATGTGAGGAAAGAGAGAAATGGAGAGCATGAGAGAAGGGTTAATTCAGGAAAGAAAGTGGATAATAAACTGAAAGACAATAAACCGTAGTAGAGGGAAAGCTGCAGGACTTGACACTGAATTTCCAAATGAGGATCCAAAGTGGAGGAGATATGTGGAAGAGCGTTAGGTTCAAAGGCTTGGAGCGAGCGGGATGTTGCGTTTGACAGTTGGCGGGGGATTATGCCAGCTGTCCTGCATGGATACACACAGATCTCATGAAGGCCAATCAATCATAGCTAAAACCAGTTCCCAGGAATTTAAATTAATTTTAGTAACAGTGAAATTTAAAGAAAAAAAAAAACCTTGAAAACTTGAAACTAATCTGGTATTTATTGGGCCATTTGGTTTTTTTGGTGGTTCATTTTCCCAATGATAACAATGTGTTTTTTCCTCACATGGAAGCTAACTTTGCACACACCACCTCTGTTGAAGAGTTTTAAGGAAACAACATATGGGTAGCCGGCAAGTTTATGCTGTTAGCCACAATAGCTAATCCAGAGGGCTACTTTGTGCGTGTTGTCTTGAACCATATTTAACACTGATCTGCATTACTCAACCAGGAGGCTCTTTAAATGTCAAGCTAACACCACAGGCGACCCTGCTTTGATCAGCTATCTTTGTAGACAGCGTGCAAGACTTCAGCCTGTCAACAATCTCAGTCCAGGTTTCTGCGTGAGCTGCAGCAGGGCTTTCATGAGTTGTAGAGATTTGGGGAAACGGGACTCTGACAAAACAACAGAGAAGCAATGTGAGCCTCTTAGCATTCCAGAAAAACTTTAATTTTGCATAAATCCTTTCAAATCCTTGTCGCTGCATCCAACTGAAAGTAAACACAGAACATACCCCCTTGGATTAGCTATTGTGGCTAACTACGTTCATATTTAGGTCCTGGGCAAATTGCCATATGGTACACTTTTTGTGCGAGCACACAAGCCAAAAATACAAGAATAAGACCAGGTTGAAAAAATACACTCTGTTCTCTGGTTTAAGCCAAGAAATCAGCCTGATCATGAGTCTAGCGTGAAAAGATCATTTGCTGTGATGACCTTTTTATAAAAGGTGGTTTAAAGTAGAAAATGCTCAGCTGCAATGCACTTTGTGAGATTTTCCTTTTAACTTAACAAGACTAGACCCTTAATGTTGTAGTAGGCTGGTTTGTCAAACACAGGTGGAACTCATAACCTTAATTAGGTCAGTGCTAGCTAACTAGCACACTTGAATGTGGCAGAGCCATCGTTAATGTGATTAGTTACACCTGTGCTTCTCTTGCTAGGAGTCACAGTATGCACCACGAGAAAGCTCTAAGAAATATCCAGATGTGTGTCTTTAGTTTAGATGTCACTTTAAACACTTACTCAAAATGAGTGTACAGTAGAGAACCTTGTAGTCTGAATTTGCCACAAAACAGCTCATTTTAAGGGCTGAGTTAGTCAGGGTAGTGCCCTGGCACTATTCCTCTGACCACAGAATGTATGCTGGAATTGTTAGGAAGCAAAAAATCAACAACTAAGTAGATAGACTAAAGATTTTGTTTTGTTTTTTAAAGCAATTCAGGTGTTAGTGGGTGATGTTGGGCTATTGAAGATCTATTTTTGTTATTTTATTTTTTTAAACCAACTGCAGAAGAGACTAGAGGTAAGGTAATTTCAGACTTCAGCAAATATTGGCTACCACTCTTACAGGACATAAAACCAGCAATCCTTTGACTTCATGCCTGTTCTAATAACCAACCTGCAACCTGTTGCTTCTTAAAGCACATATAAAAGTGCGTGTTAGGTTGGCTAGAAAACTGCACTTATTTGCTCCTGAGAATGTGAATATGTGGTCACACATCAATGAAAAGTGGAATCAATTTTGCAGTTTGAGCTGTATAAGTGTGATTGACTGGGGAGTCAATTAAGGAACGACTTAGAAATAGACAAGGCAGCGAGGGGTAAAATGAAGCTCATTCACCTAAATATCACAAATGACTCTTGCTGGAATTGGCTCATCTTCTGATAACAAGCAGAATTGGATTTCCTCCCGTGATATGGGCTCATTCATCAATAAGCACATCCCCCTTCTTGTGTAAAAGGCACTCTCTCTTATCCTTTGTGTACCACCTTTCAGCATCCAAATCAATATCCAATCCCCCCCCTCTTAATTCCTCACTGCCTCCCAGAGTGCACCAAAATGTTGAACTCCTTCAACTGGCCCTTTTTCCATCTTTACTATTGACAAATGACTTTCTGGAACTAGCTGTGCCCACACTTACACCTCAGCTTACTTCTCCATTTCAGATCCAGAGAAATCAACTGGAGCCAATTCGTCAGGCGAGTCAATGCTAAACCTCTTATTCCAATCCCAACATCGGTTTGTTATGGATAACTTGGGTTTTCTATCATGGTTGCTGAAAGTGCATATAGTAAGAGGGGGAACATTTCCAAAGTTTATTTAATGAGACAAATGAAAGTTTGTTCTTTGTGCTCTGTGTATGTTTTAAAAAAGATTTTATCTGCCTATTGTGCAATTCATTCAGAGTGGATTAAACGGAGTGTCTAAATATACTATAGTAGAGCAAACTCGCTTAAGAGATAAAAATAAAAGTAGGGCTATACTAGACCAACACTTTGAGTCATAGAGGCTGTGATGGTGATTATCAGTTATATCAAAGCTGATCCTGATAACACAACCGCTAGACCACCAATGTGTAAACTTCTCCTGTCCTGCGCAATAATGATACAAAGTATAAACAGCATTTACAGTATTTAAGTGCGCGTGCGTGCGTGTATGCACACGGATCTAATTCCCCCCGGACAGGTTCAGATAGAGTTCATATTACACTGGTGCTCAGAAAAAATAAATGGGCTTGGAAAATAGGAAGTGAGCAGCATCTCTGTGATCATCACTCATGATGTTATGTCATATTTAGTCCACTAGGTAAACTCTGGGAGGAACATGAATAATAAAAACAAGCACTTTTGGGGTCAGGACTGCGCCAGACTGTCTCTGTCAGTAAGTCTTTGCCTATATGACATTCCAGTTAAATCGGCGTTTAATGATAGAAATGACATAAGATTTGCTTAATCTTGGCAAAAACACACCACTAAATTTAGATTAAGCTGTAATTGATTTCAGAAAGCATCATATCAAAATGTGGTATACGAAGAAATGTCCCATCAGAGCATCGGACAGACAGAAAGCTGTCAGTCTCGCGGCTACGGCTATTTCTCTCACTGTAGTCACTGGCGAATGTCATTTAACAAGCCAGTGATCAAGGCCAAGAGGGTCAAGGAGATGTGATCATAAAACCTTGTCACGTCTTAGTAACTGGAACTCAAACTGCAACCTTACAGATATCTATACAGCCCGTTGTGAAGCAACTGAAATGAATTACACTTTTGGCCCCGGAGAGCATCACATAGTTCCTGTCTCTGGTTTTGAATCTAATTTATGCATCAAAGACTGATTTTCCTGATTTCTTCACCAACCAAATGTCCTCTGTATTTCCTTCCAAGTGTGTATCAATACAGCCATTAGGAGTTTAACATGGTTTTAAGAGAACATTCGGTTGGGGTTACAGTGAGCGTCCTGTTGGCATGTGACAGCTAGTTTAAAGGTGTTGCGTGACAGAGGACCCTAATGGTGACCATGCTGAAGAATTAATGCTCTTATACGATGTAAACAGCATCTACATACCAACACAATGAGTCCTAAGCTGATTACCAGTCGCACTCACCACAACCCTGACGGGCAACAAGGAAAGACTTTGGAAGAAAGCCTCTCATGCTTCAAATGTACTTTAGTTTACCCTACCTAGGTCAGAAGTTAGAGGAGTGTGGAAATTATAGAAATTTTTATTTCACGTCTAGATGGAAGTACTTTGATTTTTCTTTGATTTTGGACTTTTGGATTTTCCCCTGTTATCCTTAATAAAACGTTCTAGACATTTAAGAATGCACTGGCAAACCAAATGGGAAATTCAAAACAATGCATCTTTCACCAGTTTGAATATGACACATTCCATTTAAAATCATTATTTCTTGATATAAACAGTCACATTGTTGCTGACCGAAAGTGACACCCATTACGACGCACACAGCTGTCCAAATCCCAGTGTGTCTTTCAACAGTTTAAATATGTCATATTTCACTATTTTCATGTAAACAGAGCTGTGTTGTTTCTGGCTGTGGTGCATTTTAATTTTAAGAACTATGCTAGTGTTACAAAGCACTGTATAATTGTACATGAGTGCGGTTTATGCCCCATGCAGCCATCAAAAACATTCCAGAGATTGCTTTGCATAGATTTCTCTTTCTATATAACAGGGGGACAATACATCTTGAAGTTTCAAAGATAAATCAAATAATAATTTGTTGTCTATAGAGACCAGATATACATTTACAGGGCCATTGCTGCTCTGATTCAATTCTGATCCAGACCTTGAGTAACTTGACAGGTATTAAAAGAGCTTTCTAAAACAAATTCAGGTGCTCTGGAACACGGACAAAATATTGCAGATTTGATTAAGCTCTTCTGGACTCAAATGTTGACTTAGGTGTTTTCCTTTAGCATGAATTTTTCTCTCCTCTCTTTTAGAAAAAGAACATTAGTGTTTTGCTGAGTCTCGGTGTGCTGGCTTCCTGGGGAGTGATTCTGCTGTCAGCTCGCCTCTACTGGATGGGCAATAAGCCTCCCAACTTCTCCAACTCTGACAACCCTGCAGCTGACTCGCCACATTTTCTCACTCGAACGCTAACTTTCCTCCACCTGCCCGCCGCCAACGCCTGGCTCCTACTCTGCCCCGACAAGCTCAGTTTCGATTGGTCCATGGACGCTGTGCCCTTGGTGAGGTCTTTGGCCGACTGGAGGAACCTTCACACTGTTGCCTTTTATGGTGGATTTGTCCTCCTGGCTTTGTTTGGCCTTCGTAGCCCCACCTCGAAAGCCAAGGAGACCATTATGAAAGCCTATGTCACTAATGGGAAATCAATCACTAATGGGAATGGTTACCATGCCCCTGACACAAACCATAACACAGACCACGGGCCACCAAAGACAGCACTGAATGGGTCAGCAGGAATCCACCACTGTCCTCCACGGACGTCCCTTCCTCCTACAGAAAACCTAATACTATTTTCATTAGGCATCATGTCATTGCCTTTCATCCCAGCCACAAACCTATTCTTTTATGTAGGTTTTGTAATTGCCGAGAGGGTACTATACATCCCCAGTATAGGCTTTAGTTTACTGGTTGCTACCGGTGCAAGAACCTTGTATGTCAGACTGAGGACTAGAGGCTGGAAGGCCTTACTATTGTGTCTCTGTACGGGACTAGTGCTGCTGAATGGAGTCAGAACTGTTCAAAGAAACAGGGACTGGAGCAATGAGGAGAATCTCTACAAGTCTGGGATTAGTGTGAATCCTGCTAAAGGTAAGAGAAGGACACCAGTTATCAATAGGATAGGTATCAAACCCAACTTTGAGTAATGACGGAAATCTCTGCGTAGCACTGAGTATTATAAACTATCAAGCACCAAAAGCTGACTTAAAGCAACACAGTATAACCTTTTTGAATTAAGAAAATGTGTTTTTACAAATGAGAAGTTTGATTCATCAGCATTAAAATGCACAATTGCCCAATTGAATGTACTTAAATGTTGTTGCAAAAGCCTACTTGCCCTTATACAACTAGTAGCTTATGGTTGCTAATGTGTTAGCTAATGTCAGCAACGTTTAGATATTACGTCAACTTGCTGACCTAATGCCTTGTCTTTGTGGTACTTTTACGCTGTGTGCTAGCATTTACCATTATCCGTGTCATTTATGGCAAGGTACACTGTGGAGTTGCCACTAATAGTGCTACACATTCCTGAGGATGGCTTCACATTATTCCACTTGTTGACAGTTGGTAGTGGCAAAGGAAAGCGATACACCAACTAAGAAAGGGAAGAAGACTGCTAGCTAGGAAACTTTGACATGAACAGTGTAGGATTTAAAACATTCTTTTAAAAATATCAGCTTTATAAATGTTTTATGAGGAAGCAAATACATTTGTTAGACATCAAGATTTCACACAATGCATTTTGATAAAATCTGAATGTAAAAATGACTTGCAAGAAAACTCCACAGAGCACCTTTAGAGTAACACTGTATTTTATAAGTTCTTGTACCATTGACAAAATCAAACCACCAATGCATTAAATGCATCCTTAAGCTGGGTGAAATTGAGTGTAGTCAGTTGTTCATCATCTTAAAGGTGCAAAGAGTGGAAAGGTATGCGAGAAAATAACAAACATTTCTGCTTGGGGAACTCCAACACAGTTAATCCCACAGAGAAAACCGCTGGATGACTTTCTGCTCGTTCATGCAGGACTGGCTTTGGAATAGTTTAGTTTAAATACAGAAGTAATTTAAATTCATATTACATCAATTAACACAAGCAGTATAACTGCACATGGTTTTCGTAATTATTTGTTATTAAATGTTTTTGGCATTTTGGCAAATTGACAGCAATCTCTATTTTTAAATGAATACCAGCATTGTGTTTTTTCACCCTGAAAGTGCAACTTTTGACTGACATGTCTTCTGTAGCCTGGGGAAACTTGGGGAACGTACTGAAGAACCAGGGTAAGATGGCGGAGGCGGAGAAGGCATACAGAAACGCTCTGCACCACCGAGGGAACATGGCTGACATGCTGTATAACCTGTGAGTGTTAAAGATGCCCTGTTCCCCCCCGCCTCCTGTTTGCGAAGTCCTGACACGAACGAGTTCAGATTCCTCCCATCCATCACTTGAGATTGCAGTTGCAGAACAAGAAAGGGGGCAGGAGAAAAGGCATAGTGACAGTGAGGGTGACAGACAGAAAGAACTTAAAGAAGGCAAAAATAGATCTAATACAGGAGGAAAGAAGCAGGTGAGACGCAGAGCTAAGCGTGATGCAAGAGTGTGACAAAGAGAAAATAACTTTGTGTGTCCCTGGTGGCTCTGTGTACCTTCTGCTACTGATTTCATTAGTCGTACTTTGAGGGGACTGTGGAAGAACACAAAGCCACTTCCCATCCTGCAACACAAAATGTCAAAGGTGCCAAAACCTCATAGCAGACCCATGTCTCTTGCTCTAATGCTGACACTGTTTTTCTGTCTTTCAAGTTACGGGTGCCAGGAAGCTGGCAAAGCAGCATAGGGAGAAGGGAAAACCGAATGATGGTGTTTTTGCATTTTTGCGTTTTGCACTTTAATATGGAGATGCTGTTTGAAAATGAGGGATGGTTGGGTAAATTGGGGTTAAGTGTTGGCATATTGCATAACAGATACAGAAGCTTTTTGTTCTGTTTTTATTTCTTAGCTTTTAGCCAAAGTCCTCTCATCACTTTGACATGCTGTAATTTTGGGCAAAGCTTACTTTACCGTCACAGATATACATGAACAAGAAAAATCCTCTGTTGTGCAGTTTATGGTGCTGTGAAAATGTCTCACATTTTTCCTTTTTGTCTGTTAGTGGCTTGCTGCTGCAGGAGAATGAACGTTTTTCAGAAGCGCTGCATTATTACAAACTGGCCATTGGGAGTCGGCCAACACTGGCATGTAAGTAAAGTTTAAAGATAGCTGATACATGATGACTGGAGTGGTCGTGATTGAGAGGAAGAGTTATCAGTGATGAGATGTTCTCATTTTGAGTCTTTGTTTGGATTAATTAAATGTGAGCTAAGGGTCTGTTTTTGGATCACCATCATGGTCCAGTTTAAATGCTGAATAAGATTTTCTTTTGCCACATGGTCACTCGGAGGACCGTGTTCAGGCTATTTCAGCTTGACGGCGAAATGATGACATTCAATCTCACACTTGACTGCTTGCATGCATGAGGAGGGTGCTTCTTTTACTGTAACAAGGACGATTTTATGAGTGAGGACAGGTTTCCAGACTGCTTTTTCAACTTGATAAGTCACCTTCAGTTCTTCCTTATCTTAATCTCCTTTCAGCCTAATTTATTTCTATTTCTTTCTTACTTTTTAACTGCCTTTCGACCTCTACCCTGTGTCCTTTTGGCCATCTTCCCCAACTAACTTTGTAGTTCCTGCACATTTTGTCCATTCTTAACTACTCAGTGTTTTTTTTTTTTTTTTTACTGTATTGATTATTTTTTATATATATATATATATATATATAAACCAGAAAGTTGGATCTATAAGTGAATTAGCATTATTTATACACATATGTGTGTGTATATAGATATATATGTGTGGAGGGAGAGAGAGAGGGAGAGAGATATAAAATATGTGTGTGTATACACGTGTGTGTGTGTGTATATAAAAATTCAAAAATAAGCATCAGACAATGACTTAGATTTCATTGTCTGTGTATTAGAACACCTATCAATGAATGTGAGTCACAGCAGGTTCTAATCCTGTGTTTTGCATTTTGTTTGCTTTTTGATGGCAGCTGGTGCTGTTTAATAACTTTCCCTCCCCCTCACAGCGGCCTACTTGAACACAGGAATCATACTGATGAACCAGGGCAACCTGGAGGAGGCCAAACGCACCTTTCTGACGTGTGCCGACATTCCAGATGAGAACTTGAAGGACCCCCATGCCCACAAGAGCTCCGTCACAAGCTGCCTGTACAACCTGGGAAAACTGCTCCATGAGCAGGGCCTGCAGGAGGTTAGCGTGTTGCCATGGGAATATTTTAGGAGCTGAAATGACAAAGCGTTTGCTTGATTGCTGATCTGAATATGCAGACTAGATTAAAATACTGAACTGTTTTTTTTGCTTGTCACAATGGCTTTGACTTTATGATCACTTGTGATTTAACCACTCACCACTTATCCGTTAATGTAGGACTGAAAGCTCAACCATTTAGAATTGAACAGGAAACTGTGTAGAAGCCTGCTTTGCACCAAGTACGAGTCCCTCATCAAATAAAAGGGCTGCAATTTGCTGATGCAAAACGAAAACTCTGTTTCCCTCCACTACAGGAGGCCCTGTCTATTTATAGGGAAGCGGTGCAGAAAATGCCCAGACATTTTGCACCACACAGCCTTTTCAACATGATGGGTAAGTTTCTGTTGGAGCCCTGAATCTTTGTTTGTGATGCAGAAACTGCAGGATTAAAAAGTCACTACTGTGGCGATAACTGCTTTGAAATGCTAATTATTGTTTTGATGAGGTAACATAGCCATTTGATGCATACAGTTAAATTTGTATCGACTATGAAAAACAATGTGATGGTTGTTTTATGTAAGTAAAACAATGCTTCCCTGGGAAACGTTTGGCTTGCGCTTCAGTGATCAATCTTACATATTTGTTTCCATTTTTAATGTTCTTCTATTTTATTATAGCTTCAAATTGAATTCAATAAATTGAAATTAACTTTAGAAGAGTTTTATTTCAACACTGTAGCTCATAAATGTGTGCGCAGACTTTGTGTCCTCTTACCAAGGAGTGACGCTAAACCGTGTAATAAATCACATCCCTCTCTTTGTTATTGTAACACTAATTACATTATTGAAAATTCATCTAGACGACATAGTTGAGATTGCAAGGAGATGTCTACAGAAATGTCTTGGACAAGCTAATGAGAATTGGACTTGTTTTGTCAGGTGGAGGGAGGGCAGTGTTTACATTAGTGTGATGTCCAGGGGATTCTTTGTCAAAGCTGATGTCATTGTACTGCGGGGGCCAACAGCATGTCCTCCAGATCAAACAAAATCTCATAGTTTTAAACACAACAGTTGTTCTTTAGGGAGTGTGCTTTCCAGATTGAACTACAGTGGGGTGTTTCTTCAGCATGTGAGGAATGTTGACACTATGGATGAGAGGCAGAGTTCAACGTAGTTTATCTATCTTACACCTGTTAGAAACAAAAAATTTTGAGAAGCAGTGTTAATACTTTTTATCAAGCAACAAGGAATATTAACATCAATAAACTAGACCAGCAAGTTGGGGTAACTGGGAAGCTGAGAGCTTTGCCAAATTTGTCTTAAACAGGTTGTTCAATGAGTGTTTGTACACCTGCTAAGACTCCCTCCTCTGCACGCTGTCACGATCTGCTCCCGCCTTAGCCTGGCTAGCATATCCAGAGGAAACTTAAAGCAACAAACATCAGTTCTGTCTGTAACTAGCATGCCAATAATAAAATTATGACTCCTGATCTGTATTTTGTTGCAGGAGAGGCCTACATGAGGCTGAACCGGCTGGAGGAAGCAGGCCACTGGTACAAAGAGTCCCTCAGGGCCAAGCCTGACCATATCCCTGCCCACCTCACTTATGGCAAACTCCTGTCCATCATTGTAAGTCCCGTTACTACACACCCACCACATGGGAAAAACCATGAGGCAAGCCAAAGCATTATCTTAGTAACGACTGCAGCGGTTCACTGCCTGGCAGAGCGTAATTAAATGGGACTTGAAGTGGCAGAGTGGAGCGATGAATAATGCATATTGAGTGACTTATGGAACATTGGAGCAAGGCGAACCCATCCTATTGATTCCTTTGCACAGCCTTAAGAACTATGGTAATTGTTATGAGGTGCGAGCTCCTGACTCTGAAAGGTGCATGCTAAACAAACTCTTCTCCCCTGATCAGGAGTCAACGAGAGGATTTGTGACGCCTTCATGAATATAGTGTTTGACCTCTAGAACTACTAGTTGAATGAAAAGAGGATTACACAGTGTGAATGACGCACTGAAGGCAGAAATATTCCAATAAATACCTTTTTTTTTTTTTTTTTTTTTTTTTTGTGACCTTTTGATTGAGCCTGTAACCAGGACTGATGCCAAATATCTACATAGTAGCTGCATACATTCATGTCTGATGTCTGAAGGTCACAGATGTGGGAAGTTCAGATGAAAGCTCTCCCTCTGTGATTGGATGAGTTCCAGATTAGCTGTGTGTGTTCTGTCCTTCGCTGTGTGTATCGGTATATACGCATGAGTGTTAGGAGACAGCAAGGGCACAACAAGTTTTCTCTGCAAAGAAAAATGTCCTCCCACCGCCTCTCCCATTCCATAAAAACAAAAACACACTTATTTGACAACAGATGTGTTCACAGCTGATTCAAGTTTAGATGTGGGAGTTGAACTGTGTGCCCTCTGTAATCCCTCTAGAGATGTTTTACCTCCTCCCTTCCATGGCCTTGGGCGCTGAGTAAGGACACAACCAACCTGCAGTGCCTTGCACACTTGCAGCTGCAAACCTCACAGGCTTTAAACCTTGGTTCTGATCATTTCCGCTCTTTGTTGAAATATTTGAAGATATAGATAGTACAAACACACACACACACACACACACCCCTAAAGGGCAGGTTCAGATTAGAGTCGCCCAGTGTGGCTGGACATCTGCTGTGCTCCCTCAGGCTCAGGGCTCCGGATCCACGCAGGGCCCTGCCTCACAGAGAGGCCCCCTCCACTACTACAGGGCTTTAGGAACAGGAGATTGGATGGATCCCGGACAATGGGCCAGTGGACAGGCTTATAATGCAATTACTCTCCTTCCTTATTGAATCACTCCATCGGCTACATTTTTGGCCATCCTGCTGGAGTCAACTGACAATACAGATGCGGGGAGGAAAGATCAAACTGAAGTCTTGTACTGTTTCTCACCCAAACATGTGCTTTATTTTTTCTCTGAAACTTTCTAGGTGACACTCTCATTCTTCTTTTAAAAGTAAATCCACACAATAATAAAAGCTGGAACCTGATAGTCTTGAACCCATCCACATCCCTCCGCAAATACCAAGTGCAACTCCTGAAGCCACTAATTTGCTGTATTCTCACCAAGGTCATAGTGCTTCCAAATGAGTCTAGTGTAACATTAGAGCCCCGCTGTTGGTCATAGATCTCTTGCTGGAGTCAAAGGGGTGTGGTGTGCATTGGGAAAAGTTGTGGTCAGTCAACACTAAGCTGACTTATGAATTTAAGCTGTGTATTTAGATGCATTCAGAACTGGCACTAACCACTGCCTCTCACTGTGGAAGACCGCTCAATAATTCACAAACAGAGGAGTACAGGTGGTAAAAGTGTGGACTGGAGGAGTGCATACACAGCAATAAATAAGTTTAAAAAAGAGCACATCACAAAATCGTCTTTTGGTAAAATCTTTTCATGTCTTTCATAAATCTGGTGAATGATAACTTGTTCCAACCCCACTAGACTGAACCACTCTACTTGCAGTTCTGATGGATGGCCGGGGAAAATGTTTAATTGAATGTAAAGAGGAAAGAGCCAAAGAAAATGTGAAATAAGCCGTCTAGGCCCTACGATATTCGCTCATTCATTTAGAGCGATTGCGGGCATGGGGAAAAGCTAATGAAGCAAGCCTAATATGCCTAGTCCTCTCATTTCTTGTTGCATGGCAAGTCCATTGGCAATATGGAAGCAATCAGTGTTGAAGCATGAAAGAAAAGAGGTGGAGAAATTGAGCCTCGTGCACACAGAAGCAATGTCTTAGTTTGGTTTTAGGTACACACACACACACACCCCCTTTGGAGGTTTTTCTGTAAAGGTTAGACATGGGAGGTGAGGTACTGTGTTCTTTATGAGCATCAGTTTCCTGCTGAACTTAATGAAACTTAACAGCAGGGTTGCCGTGCCTCAGCTGATGCATGTCACTGTTCTAAAATTACTCGGAGCAGAGACAGTAAAATAGAAGCTTTTTTTGTGGTGCGTTTACATGTGTACGCGTTTGTGACACAGTATGCACGCACAATGCAGTACGCATGCTATATATTTATATTGCAATTTAAATTTTCACTTTTCTTCTCGTTTACTATTATAAACCATAGACTCTAATTAAATAATCTGGAAGTGCTGTCACTCATCTTCTGCCTCGTTCAGAAATGTGTATCTGTTACATTCAGGGCTCATTAAGTGTGTCATTAAGTTTAGACATTTTGCTAATTTGTTTTCTGTTCATAATATTTCATAATCACAATTGATTCTGCCCATACTATTGACTAATTTGTACATAATATACACTCCATGCTTGGATTGTTTCATTTTTGGCTTTTGTTTGTTGTACTCATGTGTGAGGGACAAAATTAAATGAAGCCATGGCCCTCGTAGTCAAAAGCCTACGCAGATCACAACCTAACCCAAGCATGCAATCATGTGTTCAATCAGCCATTAAGCCCTATTCGGTGATGGCCTTGCCCTTCTGGTTGTGTCAGGTGCCGTGTATACCCGTGAAGCTAGTACATTTGTATTGAGTATGAGTGGTCAAAAACAAACGAAAAAAAACTTAAGGTCAAAGTGTGCCTTTATGTCGTTGCACAAAATGAAATGTTACAGAAACACAATCTTCTCACAACAGAAAATTCAACTCGCATATCGGGTGCAATCAATGATCCTCCTCCTCCTTCCTTTTCCTTCTAGGGGCAGAAGACAGAAGCAGAGAAGTACTATCTGAGAGCTATTCAACTAGACCCGAGAAAAGGAAACTGCTACATGCACTATGGTAAGAAGAGACATCAAAGGTTTCCCTTCTCACATTTTTAACAAAGCCTGTTTGAAAACTGACATTACAATCATAAAAATTTGGACACCTCTGTCCTCAAAAAATGTCTCTCTATTGTTGACAAAGCCCTTTTCTACCACCTATAACATACCTGATTGCCTGTAATCCAAACCTGTGCTGCAGGCTTTACTGTAATCATCGGGCTTTGCTGCAGTAAGCTGTACTCAGGATGATTATTAGGCAGTGGCCTTGAGACTTTGTAGGGTCACCCTCAGACCCAGTCATTAAATATACCAGGTCCTCTTACAGCTCATGTTGTAAAACACTCTCGATCCTTTTGTTTTTATCGTTTTTCCCTAAAAATGATTGCAGGACGTGTTTTAGCACTCCCTGCACCACAGTAACTAATTTGCTTGAAATGTACTGTCACCTGATTTACTGTTGGTATCGGTGCTGGGAGTGTAGAAGCTGTTTGAGGTTTCGCAGATGGTGCAAACACACACAAACAGGCATGTATGCTATGTTTATCTGAGTGAGGACACAGGATCAGAGTACACTGTTTACCATTCGTACCAGAGAGTACAACATGAATCCACGTTCCGCCAGTGCTGCTGTTCATACAGCGTTTCATATCAGTTTGGAGGAATAGGCTCCTTGCTGCTCCACGTCACTATCTTCAGGATATTCATAGGAAATTAAACCTGCCCCCTCTTGCGGAAAGCACCATTGTGTGTTGTCCCTTTCTCCTCTTCATTATCTTCCTCCATTCCTCCTGGTGCTTTCTCTGGGCTGGATATCTTGGGGATTGAGTTTAGTTTTGGGGGGGGGGGGTCGCATTGCTGTCTTTGGACCAAGCTGTTTCCCCTTCCCTGCCTCTCTTCTATTTCCTTTTTCCAATGTTATCTTGTAGCTTCTTGCTAAATGTTGCTACTTGCTAATGTTTATTTGGGCTGGTCCCCTTACCTCCTTTATCGCAAATCTGGCTGCTTTATCTATCCTGGGTTCACTTTATGAGCTCCAGGTGGGAGTGTGTAAGGAGCGATAATATCTGCCCACATTATAACACAACGGATGCACACACAAAGACACACACATGAGAGTGCAAGGAAGTGAGGACACAGAGGGTGATAACTAAAGCAAGGCCCCCCTTTCCTGCCATTGTTCACAGTAAAACATTTTAATGCAAACTGTCCTGCATACGATCCATTTTTTAATTGTCTGGTGTCTAATCACTTTGTCAAATTCAGTTAGCTTTCAGTACAGGAAACAGAAACTCAGTAACATTTGTGGCTCGCCTGTTAATTTATTGCCACGGAGGCAGGCACTTGTGGGTGCCCTCCAGGTGGCCAGACTCCCACAGGAAAACGCAAGAATCCCCTCCATCTCATCTGTGTTCTCAAACGACGCCAAGCAAAACAAAAATCCTTTCACTGTCTTACTCCTCTCTTGCTGTCTCTGCCTCCTTGTTGTGTTTCCTGGGGCACTCCTCTATTTCACTGCCTCCATTCATCTTCCTTTGTTTTTCCACTGATCCCCATCTTTGTCTGTCAGAGCTTCTCTACAAGCTTTCCCTGTCAGGTCAATACCACTTTCATCAGCTTGCCACAATGTGATTCTGGAGCATAAACTTGTAAATAATGGCACAAAACAAACAAAATCCAAACCCTCTATTTGCAAATAAACAAGACAAAGAGTCTACAGCCATGCTAATGGTTCGGTAGTGGCACAGTAGTAGTTAATAGTACGTCAATTTGTCAACCTCTTGTTGGGCCTAGAGGGGAAAAAGTCAGGGATATAAATGCACTTCCTGTGTCTTCCCCTCTCTCCAGGTCAGTTTCTTCTGGAGCAGTCTCGTCTTGGCGAGGCGGCGGAGATGGCGGAGAGAGCTGCGGAGTTGGACAGCACAGAGTTTGATGTGGTCTTCAGTGCAGCTCACATGCTCAGGTTGGCTAAACTGCTGACACGCAACACCACCGCTCGCAAGTGGAGTTTCCCTACTTGAAAAAGCACAGTACAGAAAAAATGTTGAGGTGTTTTTTAAATCCTGTATTTACAGAGTTTGCTGCTGTGCTGCTTCCCCATTTGTATGTATTTTTTTTTCCATGTACCACTGCCATTTAATAACCATATTTTGAAATATAAATTACTACTAATGTTATAGAATAGTAAATGTCCTCTCTATGGAAATAGCTGCCATAAAAGCTGTTATGTCTAACACATATACAGCAGTACAGTATCAGTCCATCATAGCGATGTTTCAGCCCAGGGCTTGTAAAGAAGCCACTGGAGAATTTTCCCTCAGTTTGGCAAGCATGTGCACAGACAAACGCATAAGCCTTCAAACGTGTCAAAAGGGACTGCAAATGTCCTCTACTCCTAGCAACTCGAGGAAATATTGGAGCGATGTGCCTTCGTTCCTTTTTGCTCTACATATCTGGGAAAGTCATCGCTGCTCTCTAGCATCCATCTGAATGCAACACCACAGAGGATTTATAAAAAGTTGAAAGTCTCAGGGTTTGGCTGAGGTTTGCTTTTTGAAACCGTAAGAGTAAATCTAAGTGACAGATCATTTTGCCATATTCTGGTCTAACTGGTTGTGTTCTTCTGAGATTGACTGTGACATAAACTAATTAGGGTTTAATGACACACAGCTGTCATTAGTTGGATTTAAAAATTATAATGCTCCACTGGTAATAAAGGTGAGCTTCAAATCTTGGCTTTTTTTAAAAACCTCCAATATGACCATATCCAGGTTTATAATAATGACCCAACAATCCAGTTTGACCACTTTGAATGTGCCAGGCCTACATTTCACACATTTCCCTCTATCTAATGTTACTTTCCTTAAAACCTGAGTTCCTGTGTCTTTATCAGTCTTCTTTATTGACTCTCCAGCACTTAATCAAACAAAATAAAGCCCAAGGAAGCATGCTATAAGATGACTGTGATAGTCAGTCTTGAACTCCTCTGATCCGTGATAAAAGTATGGCATGCATTCTCATGGCATATTTTACTCGAGTCATAGTCTTATAAATATTAATTACCATGTCGTGAAAGAGTGGTTTCCTTGGCTTTATTAACTTTGGCACTGCAATGTCCGATTCATGCACTGTTTGGATAAAATTGTATGTATGGAGCAGATGAGCGGTTGCCATTTTATAAACCCAGCTGTAACAAGTAAGGGAACATCCATTTCCATCGTTCTCTGATAAATAATAAGGTAGGCATAATGGACGGTAAGATTAAAGTAAGTCACTGCAGCATTATCACAGTTATTACAAAGAAATGAAATGAATCCCTTAACACAGAACATTGTTTCCTAATGATTTTATTAGAAATGTATTTTACAAGCTTGTAAAAAATAAAATTCAACATTCCTGCAGCCAACGATGGATCTGTACCATCAGTTGGCCATTGTTACAGTATGGACTCATTAGTTTGATTAGTCTCTGAATACAAATAAGTCCATGTTTTTAGCTTGGCGAGAAACATCTTTGTGTGCAGGAATAAACAGTAACTTAATAATACTTAATTTTTATTATTATTGGGGTGGTGATGGAACAGTGGCTAAGACACTTGCCTTTGGTGTGAGAGACCCGGGTTCGAATCCACTGTGAGACACAGTGTGTCCCTGAGCAAGACATTTAACCCCTAGTTGCTCAAGAGGCGTGTGACCTCTGAGATATACAGCAATTGTAAGTTACAGAAATTAATTTAAAATTATCTTAATGCGTAGTAAAAAGGTTAGGTGTAAAATAATTGTTAATGAGTAATAAAACTTATAGCCAATCAGAATTTATTTTAAGTATGCAATAAAAATATAAAGTTCCTAATCTGGGGTTCGAGACCCTCTCAGGTGGTCCCAGAGATTTCAGTTTCAGTGTATAGTAAGGTAGTTTTTCCAGTAGACCCTTTACAGATAAATAATGTACAGTGCAACCATCCCGCCTTTTTATGAGACACAATGTATGTATTGCCTGTTATAAAGCACAGTCCACTGTGATACACAGAGGCAGGAGGCTCTAAATGAGTACAACGTACTGTGTGCTTGATTCCTGACCATTTTAGTAAGATTCATTGTGAAGATTATGTTAATCTGACTATTCCAAAGGAAATTCTAAGTAAAATCACCACTGAGGCATTTTACAGCATTTACACAATTAACGAATGGCTCTAATTATAGTAATTCATATGATTAGCTGTGCAATTGTGAATGAATACAATTATCAGGAATTTGAATTAGGACAATATTATTAATATAAACTGTGTTATGTCACATTTTACTAATTTTTTTTATCTCTGTGTTTCTTTCTCTTTAGACAGGCCAGTCTAAATGAAGCAGCAGAGAGGCAGTATAAGCGTGCAGCCAGCCTCAGACCAGATGTAAGTACCTGGACTGGTGGGCCTGCTAGCACTTAACATGGAAATGCACACACACGCCTGCACCGTAAATTCAATTTACAACATACTATGTATTACCCATCATTCTGACAGTGTGTTACATTACTGTTGTTCCTGGCAAACAGCGACACAGCTGAATATAAAATGGAAACTGTGCTCTGTTCATGGCTGTGAACTGGTGCCTTGATGTGCTTATGCAAACACAAAAATCCCAGAGGAAAGAGTTCAGTGGTAACCGTTGCCTGATATTGAATTCACACATTCAGCTTCAGAGTAAATACTTGATCATCACAGTATAGTTAGACAGACCGAACCTCGTGGGATATCATGTCTCTCAATGTCAGCACATGCGGTTGAGGAACTTGGGGGGCTATTATATCCTGTTTCTGCCTAGTATGAATCAGTCACTTCAAAGGAAAAGGGTGCATGGACTGATCTCGGGGAGGTAACTTAAGAGTCACAGCCTGTGTTTTTTAGACATGAACTACTGGGAGCTTCCTGCAGTCATTTGTCATGGTAGTCTACTCAGTGACTTATGTTGCTAGTTCAGTCGAGAGAGAGGGTTAAACATTCATCTTCATGCCCTACACTGGAGTAACTAGTATTATATTGCCACACCCTTTAGTGCAGTGTTTCCCTACCTTTTGTGTCGGATGAACTCAAGGCATTCACCCGTCATGCTCAAATGTGTTCTTTTGAGTTGATACTGGCTGTGATATAAGTGCTTCCATACAGTTGAACTGAATTAAAGGTTTGTGTCAATTGCATTACTACTATCACTGGAATTGGCAAAAGCCAGACCATTTATCCATGAGTATGGGTAGGATATTGGTATAGTTCAACTTTTAATCCATTGCTTTTGGCTAACTGATTCTACTGTTTATGCATTACTTTTACATTATCTATCTATTACAGTATTTTTAGCTATGTATTCCAAATATGTCTTTCACTTTTTAGCTAACTATTTAAACAATGTATCCATTACTTTAATCTATCTACTTCAACCATACATTTATAGTTCAACTGTTTATTCACACACTTTTAGCTGACATGTTTGTATTACTTTAAGCTAACTGTTAGACCTGATCTGATTGCTAGCTAACTGTTTTTCATGCACTCTCAATGACAACATGTAGTGTTCAGGTAGTTAATTATTTTTTTGTCAAATTAGCTGAGCTACTTAGTTTGTCCACATACCCCCTGGAAACTGCAGAATTAGCCCTCAGGGAACAACTACTGGTTGGGAAACACTGCTTTTTAGTATGTGCCCCTTTTAAGATAAGGACTGCCTGTCTGTTTATATCATGTTTAAGCCTTAAAAGCTGAGTAAAACCCTAGAAGAGAAGAATTCTGGTTGTCCGTTTTTAATTTGGAAAGCCATGTGTTTGTATATTATTCTGTAAAAAAAGTCACAGTCATTATAATTCACCATCTGGGAGCCTTCATGTGCACATTTAGATGCGCTTAAGCTTTCTTTTGTCATGAGTAAAGAATCTCTTGTATTTGACACACGTCTTCCTAGTGAATGACAGTATCTCAAATATCAACTTAATCCAATAGCTTTCAGATCACGAAAGATTCAGCGCTGGCAAAGGAAGGTGCAAGTAGAGTTTTGCACACAATGAAAAGTCCATTATTTACACCACTCAGAGGTTTGTCTCAAAGAAAACGCTGTACTCTGAGCAGAAACTGAGCATGAAGACTGATTAGGCTAATTAGGCTATAATATTTGGTCCCTGCAAATTATCATCAAATTATAATATTCACAATAAAAGCCACTATGTGTTTTGCCACTTGAATGTTTTTATTGTGAAGGAGCAGTAGAATGTTCTGTTTCCATTAGCAGCAAATTAACAGAGATGGTGAAATGAAACATTAATTTTCTAAGTTGTAATCCAAAGTCCCCATGCCAGTTACTCATTTATCTCTTCTTGTATGCCAAATATGTCAAAAATGTTGAGTGTTTTTATTTCCCTTTTTCTCTTTCTATAAACTCAGACAATATTTTTATGTCTTAAAAGATGTCTAGAGTGAATGTTTAAGGATTATAACCATTGTGATAGTGGTTCACTGTAGCTCATAGGGCAGGGTGCATCTCAAAAGCTGAATATCACCGGCAGATTCTATCTTGAAAATACTGTATATTTCATTTTGCTGAAGGTCAAGGGTAAGATAATTACAGTAAGTAACTTCATAAATAATTGTTTCAGTCAATAGAAAGGCACAAAGAATTGCTGGATTACTTTCTGGCTGCTTTCCTGTGCACAGGAACACATAAACAGGGGTCCATTTCTAATGATTTAGCCCAGTCCTTGTATTGCATATCATCCGGTTGTTTAGAATGACAAACGGACCATCATTTATCTAGCTTAGTATGTCTCGGCTGCTCACAAATTTCCTCAATGGTACAATAAGCAGAACAACTGTTTGGAGGACTTTGAAATGTAACTGCTTGATACATCCATTTGTTGCACTAGGTGAGAAAAACAAACCCACGGAAAATGGCAGAACTGCACTGTAGCTGCTCTCTGTTAAACTGCATTAATTAATTGTCCTGGGTCCTCCAGGCCACTACTTGGAATATGCCAACTACGTAAGCACTCATTAGATACATTACGTTGGAAAAACAAGCTCACACTCTCAATGCAAGTATTTTAACACTGCTTTATAAGTGGAATGTAAACAAGTGAAATATCAGCGTTTAGAGACGAACAGTTGTGTTTGGGGAGAGAAAATCTGTGGACTAGTTTCCAAGTTGCTTACCATATGTCATGCAGTGACGACACGGGCCTGGGAAGAAGGCCAGTTCTGGGGGATGAGGTGCCGACAACTTTTAGGATGAGATTTGGGTGTGCTCGTTAGCTATGGCTTGCTGAGAGTCATGTCTATGACCTGGATTTTGTAGATTTCCATGACTGTTACACTATTCAGGGCCAGATGGTTTCAATTTAAAACTTCAAAAGATGGTATTCTATTAAATAGGACCTACCTCTAAATGGGTTTGTTCATTCATATCGTAAATACTTAATATTCACTTCACACACAATCTGTACCTACCTATTTTCTCACTGTGGCATTGCCAAAGGACACACGTTTGTCTTTGGCCATGGCTGCTACTGTGCTGTGAGATTGCGTTAGGGCTAATTTAATGCATATTGGATTTCCATAGCCTTAAGCAAATTTCACTAGAGCCCTTGCCTTAATCCACCATCCATAAAAAGCCTGGCAAGCTTCCTAAAATGTGAGTGTGTGTCTCACATAACTGTCTCTGTCAAATGTAGAACTGAGAAGGGCAAGATTAAAATAGTTTGTCCAAATAGGACCTTGACCGATTTCAAGGTTGACACAGTTGCCACAAGTACAGTAATCCTGTAAGTCAGCGCCCTAAGACCTTTAAAACCCATTTTGCACCACTCTGCCTCCTTTTCCATTGTTCTGACCCTTTTCTCACTGTGTCTTTGCCCTTTCCTAGTATCCAGCTGCTCTGATGAACCTCGGTGCCATCCTCCACCTGAATGGGAAACTTCCCGAGGCAGAGGCCAACTACCTGCGTGCATTACAGCTCAAACCTGATGATGTCATTACCCAGTCCAACCTGCGCAAACTGTGGAACATCATGGAGAGGCAGGGACTCAGGATTAGGCATGGGCTTGGGATGCAGAAGAGCGACCTTTGAACTGAGAGAATTGCTGCACTCCCTTCCCTTAATGATGATGTAGTGTCCTCCGGAGAATGAAGCAGGACAGGATATGAAAGAGCTGGAGGCTAAAAGCTCCTCCTACGAGACAGGAAAGTCAAATTCTGTAGAGCTGTGTCCTGTGATGCTTGTGAAAGACAGTTTGATGCTTGGCATGTTTGGGATTCAAGTGTGAGTTCTGTGCGATGTGTCACCACCAGTGCTGTATGGTGGCTCAAACAGCTAAGAGTCACATTTTATTTTTCACTTAATAAGTTTTCACTTAAGTTTTAAGTAATGCTCAGTTGTTAAATGATGCACTGAAGTCAAAGGCAAAAAACTGCAAAGTCCAAAAGAGAAAGTTTTGAGATCAATAAAAAATTGGTATATTTTAAAGCACTTAATTTGAATGAGGATGTAGCAAAAGTATTTAAATAATTTCTGCAGAATGGGTTTTAAAGTTGTCAGCGCTAATGGGAGAATGACACATTTCAGCTGGTTTGTGTTGGAGGGGAACTCCTCACACACTACGTTTGTGGGTGGAAAAAAAGTTACATAAAGTCTTCCTGCAGAGGGCGTCTGAGTTGCCTCAAGTGATGTCACTTGAGTTGGGGTCAGATGAGTCTTAAAACTTTAAGTTTGAAAATGAAAATCTGGGGGTGTGAAGTTAGACTAGCGGTTTGAGGCTACATTAGCTGCTATTCATATAACACGCCTGCATCTCTGACAGAAATGTCTGTAGTAGAGTTGCATTGTGGGTAATGTAGGTACCAGGTTTTGACAAGGAAGAAGAATGCACAGAATAAAACAAGACAATGGCCCTATTCAAAACGGTCTACTATACTATTAGTATGTACTGATTTGACCTAAATGTAGTACTGAGTATGTAAACAAAAGTAAAATCTGGAATATGCCAAAAATACCCGGATACTGATTCGGAAAAAATCTCCAGAATGCATCGGACCAGTCTACCTTGCATTCTGTGTCCCATAATTCAAAGTGCTAGAACGGTCACAACAGCAACTTTTTTAAAAATGTGATCTTTATTTAATCAGGCAGTCTCAACAACTGGTCATTGTTGAAAAGGCAAACACTCAGTAGTGGACAAGGAGGAATATAACTGCTCTGTCCCTAATAACAAAAATATCCCTCAGTGTTGGATTAAAGTTATGTATGTCATGTTGTTTTATAAGTGGTACTCATAACATTTTAATTAACATTTACTTATTTATATTCCTCCTATTGTTTACATGTTTGCCAAAACCGGCAATCTGCAAAGCCTAGCGTACTGCAAAATAAGTCGAATAAACAGTTTTATACTGCATACTACTATGAAACCCATATAGTATGACATACTGCACACTGCGGTTACGAATACAGCCAATATCTCTGATTCTGCTGCATCGTTTTTGATCTTTTTCTTTTTTACTCTTAACACAATAAATGCGTAACATTAAAAGCATGCCAGTGCAAAGACATCTTGAGGTACCACCCTCTAATACAGCGCTGTATAGTAAAATGCTCCAACCAATTAAAAAAGAACAGGTAAAAGCATAACGCATAGCTAGTCACATTCTGTGGTCAGAGTAACTGAAGATTGTTTGCACCTGGTGCATTTTAAATGCTCATGACTGTAAAACTGATCATGAGAAAACTTGTCAGCGGTGCCAAAGCGTGTAGTAGGTCTTTACGCCTCTTGTGCCAAGCAAGAACTGATCTCACTTGTGTGTTGTGTTCCTTGTGTCAAATGAAGGTGTTTCACTTCATGTGATCAAATGATCAAACTTAATTTATTAATAAATGTTTTTATGTGAAACCAACACTGTGCCATCACTGTCACAGTAGCCCACCCTCTGATTTCTCCACATAGATAGGCTACATGACAATTACATTAAAAATGTTTTTTTTTATATATATATGTGTGTATATATATGTTTTTCTCTCTGCTCAGGGACATCTGGTTGTGATTACTGTCGCAGAATGAGTTTGACACAGAGAGAGCTTCTTAAAATGATGTTAGATGTTTTTGATGATTGTAATGTTTAGTTAAATTATAGAAAATGTGTAGCAGATAATGTGTTGTGTTTTGTAAAGAAAAGTGAACCTTTTTCCATAATAAAAACATGACTCTTGCTCTCAGCAGTGTGATGTCCTCCAGGAAGCCTGTGCCTCTCAACAACTGTAAATCCAGTCAGCCAACCCACATGTACAGTGTCTCACAAAAGTGAGTACACCCCTCACATTTTTGTAAATATGATTACATCTTCATGCGACAACACTGAAGAAATGACACTTTTCTACAATGTAAAGTAGTGAGTGCACAGCTTGTATTAGTGTAAATTTGTTGTTCCCTCAAAATAACACATCACACAGCCATTATGTCTAAATCACTGGCAACAAAAGTGAGTACACCCCTAAGTGAAAATGTCCGCATTGGGCAAAGGTCTCAGGTGTGAATGGGGAGCAGGTGTGTAAAACTTGGTGTTATCACTCTCACACTCCCTCATGCTGGTCACTGGAAGTTCAACATGGCACCTCATGGCAAAAAACTCTGAGGATCTGAAAAAAAGAATGGTTGCTCTACATAAACATGGCCGAGGCTATAAGAACATTGCCAAGACCCTGAAACTGAGCTGGAGCAAGGTGGCCAAGACATATAGCCGTTACAAAGGACAGGTTCGACTCAGAACAGGCCTCGCCATGGTCAACCAAAGAAGTTGAGTGCTCATGCTCAGCGTCATATCCAGAGGTTGTCTTTGGGAAATAGACGTATGAGTGATGTCAATGTTGCTGCAGAGGTTGAAGGTGTGGGGGTGTCAGCCTGTCAGTGCTCAGACCATACACTGCATCAAACTGGTCTGCATGGCTGTCGTCCCAGAAGGAAGCCTCTTCTAAAGATGATGCACAAGAAAGCCCGCAAACAGTTTGCTGAAGACAAGAAGACTAAGGACATGGATTACTGGAACCATGTCCTGTGGTCTGATGAGACCAAGATAAACTGATTTGGTTTAGATGGTGTTAAGCGTGTGTGGCCTTTCTCACAGCGGCCATTTTGACATATCATAGCAGGAATATCAGTTCAGGGTCTTAGTATTGTGCATGCTGGACTACAGCTTAGTGGGAACAAAGCTATCGTTAATCCTATTAATTACGCCTGGGATTTTCTTGCTATGACAAGTCAAACTGACTGTTATGTTGGGGGCTATTCTATATGAACAGCAGCAGTACCGATTTTTATAACCCATTTCCACGTACAGAAAGCAAATGAGCCGGGGTGGCAGCAGCAGTTCATGCACTATTGACTGCTTAACCTTAATGCATTGTTGACACTGGCTTTGCTTCCTACTTGTTGGGGGCCCCACCCAAAGTTGTATATCTAAATAAAAATAATATTTGCAAAATTTTTTTAGACGCCAGTGAGGTTTAACTCCCTGTTAGGGAGACACCAATTACAAATACAAAGCATATGAAAATCCATTTTATTCAACCGTGTTTAAAAGTCTGTTGGAACCCAAACAGAGATAATGCATTCTGTTGTATTAATTTCAAAATCTTGTTTATAAGTAATAAAATCAGTAGAAGTCATGAAGTATCAAGGTGATAAAACAATGTTTTTTGCATGGTCTCTAGGACCCCAAACAGGACATCAGGGCTAAACAGACAGTCTTATTGCATTACATTTAGAAGAGTCCATCATGTGAGCGTAGCAGTGATGGACTTGTCTTCCTGAACTAGTTTGCAGACTTTGGTCTATCTAATTGAGATCGCCAATTATATTTTTGAGAGTATGAAATGTTAAATAATTTAGAAAGGAAGTCATTTCTGTCTCTCCCGTTACCTAGTCTTGGTTTCACTGGAGACACAAAGGAACAGTGCCACGCTCAGTCTCTCTCCTTCTCTCTAAATGACACACACAGCTTTCTGAAAGGAACCACTAATTAGACCCGGGCCTTTACACAAACTCAACATGTTGATATCATCTGATCAAGCAGACATCAAAGAGGTTCTAATCACATGCCAGACTCTGAGCACACCAAGCTGTAAATATTTAAGAAGATATCAAACTCGACTCACTTATTGACTTGGAAGAATTTACAGCCCCAGTTTCGAATATTTCAAACTATGCACTAGAAGTTAGCATAAATCTGCGAGCATATTGTGTTATGTAATAATAATAACACTGAACCAAGAATGTATTTGTTATCCATAGAAACAACCTTATTTTGAAACACCATCTGCTAAACTCATCACTGAATCTGCCCATCTTGCCCACAGGACCAATTAAATCATCTCAAAACGTTTGCTGAGAGATGGCGGCCTGGAAAACGGCTCCAACTACAAAAACTACCGATACCGTATCACGTACACATGTGGTTTAACACACAGAGTGAGTGTGATTTCCCCCCCTTTTTACAAATTAAATCGTGGTGTGAATATTTTGGTCTATAAAAACAACGAAATAATAAAAGGATTAGTGTGGAAGTGTGTGCATGTCACATGGGATAGTGGAATGGTAATGTTATGGACTTGCTTAGCTTTGATACAGGCAAAAAGTTTGTCTAGTGTACACTAATGAAATGCATCCCCTTGTAGTGTGGAATTGAGTAATGTGTTTCTTGTTTTATATTTAGCACAGATGAGTATATTAATGTCAGTACAGCTAAAAAAACCCTCATAAATCCATAGTTAGAAGATTAAAGTTCTGGCTAAACAAAATGATAATACACCATATAAATTCAAGGCATAACTTGAAAGGCATAAATTCAAGGCATAACTTGAAAAAATGGATGTCACTTAAGACATTTCTAAAATTCATTCAATAACTACAGGATTTTATTTTCAAATTAAGAAGAAAAGTTACGTTGTCTTATCCTAGATCGTGCTCACATACTTTACAAAGTGAAAAAGCTCATTAGTATTGTCCATGTAAAGTCTACTTTTGTAAACCGGGCCCCATCTTGCCTCAGTATTTCCCAGGTCACACTAGCCTGACACCCAATTAGGAAGCATTTTGATAACCTTTTCTTCTTCCTGCCTTTGGGGTGAACACACCACCAGGAGTGGTGCCAAGGGGCAAATGGTCTGTAGGATGTTCCAGGAACTAATATAAATGTGTCTAATTAAAGCTGAGTAACATTTTCCGTCAGTGAAGACAGTCTGTACTTTTTACTGTACTTTACACCTGACTACCAATGAACTGTAAGCTGCCTTCATCATTCAGAAATTTGAAAGTTATTCACTCATGATGGCTACATGTCTGTTTGGTTGTTCCACAGCTGGCAGACATGACTTCTGACAGCAACACCTGGGTCTATATGTTGAAGTAAACCACTAAAACTACCCAACAGGGAAAGAAGTTAGAAAGGCCCATGACAGATGAAAGCTTTCCTCCCACCGCTCGATAGTACACCTGCAAGGCAAGCATGTGGGTATTGCCTTCAGGGACATTAGATGTGGTTTAATTGAATTAATTGGCATACAAACAATAATTTACCATATCACAAAAAAACAGCTCTGTAATATATAAATGACTATAAGTGCTATAGTAAAGAGTGTAGAATCAAAATACACTTTTGATTGAAATTCAAAAGCACTTATACATGCAAACAGACAATGTGATTGATATTATTATATACATTACATGACATTATTAGATTGCCAATACTGATGCATCAAAGTGTAAGTGGCATTTTAGTGTTATAGCTGGCTGGGTAGAGCTATTTTTAACTTCTTTATGTACAGTGAAATGGTTTAGTGTCCAGTGGTTCCTTTTTTATAAGGTGTCACAAGCCAAAAAGTTTGGGACCAACTAGTTTAATCTTTAACAATATATTACAATGTAAAATCAGTAAAGTAACAAGTAACTCCTTCTGTCAAATAAAGGTAAGCCTAATGGAGTAGAAAGTAGCAAGTAAAGTACAAATACCTCAAAATTAGAGTGGATGAGTAAATGTACTTAGTTACTTTCCACCGCTGAATATAACCACCTGCTGTGACCCTTGCTGCTGGAAGACTGCTGGCTTTTTGAAAATATTATTTTGCACTGTAGACTCACCCTGAAGGAGATTATGGCAGAAGTAGTGGCAACAATGTACTTTTAGAAACCACTAAACAAAATGTGGACTAGCCAGTGTTGACCTGTGCCAAGAGTTCAGCCTCTATTTCTAATAATGTTGCATGTGTCAACGGCGACCTCTGCTGACAGTGTCCCTTATGTACAATTGGCTCCATTTCTTTCTCCTCCATTAGAACCATAGACTGTATATAAAAATTAGAACAGGTACTGTAACAAGCTAAAACAGTAAAGTGCTACTTAGTCATTGATGAATCAGTATTGCTATCTAATAATGTAATAATGGCCATTTTTATGTTTGAGTGATTTAACTCGAGTGTTTTTTGATTCTGTGCTTTTACTTAAGTATCAATTTCCTTTTACGTATAATGTCAAGTAATGTAATGTATATATTTTAGAGTTTTTTGGGGGGGAGGATCAGGTAAATTATTGTTTGTCTGCCCTAAATAAAGTTAAGGGTAAACTAAATAATAACACACCAAATAAATTCAGGACATAACTCAAAAATGGATGTAACATAAGACATTTCTGAAATTAATTTAATCACTATTGACACTAACAAGTTGAGTTGTCTTATCCTGGACCTTGTTCGTACCCTATCTAAAGTGATAGGGTGGAGAGAAGAAACAGACAGCTCCTACCTTTGTAAACCTGACTCCATCTTCGCCTTTTTCCTTTTCAAAGTGCTTGTTAATAATGGTTTTAGGGAGTTGTATGTGCTGTTAACAAAGTCAACACTAAACTTGCAAATCTTATCTAACTCTAATCTGAGCTGGTCACAACATGAACTGTTTATGTGTAATGGAAATCGTATGTAGTTGTTGAACCATGAAATGAATTACATGAGGGATTTGCTCATTGTAATATTAAACTGATCTGGGAACTGACTGCTGATCCCTCCTTGTATAATGTATGATGATTGTGGTGTGGCCATGGAAAACAAACAGGAATATCTCAACAATGTGCAGTTATCATCTTAATATACATCTTAACCAAATATTGTACTTTTAATGAAACTGTCAAAAATGAAAATCCATTTTTATAGATACTTAGAGACACATTATTGTAATGTTAGCAGTGCCCCTGCATCATTGACCATGAAGCCACAGTAATTATAGGCCTTTTATCCCCAGAAATAATAACAAGATGAAAAGTTGGAACAGGAATAAAGAAATGTAGACTTTGGTTTGGTTCTGCCAGGAAATTTATTTATGAAGCCTCTTCAAAGTCAAATCTGTATAATGTGGTCATAAATTAAATAGTAAAAAAAAAAAAGTATAATGTATTTTATAAACAGTGCTTTCAATAAATATACTAGAGAAATGTGTAAGACTACTTAGTTTTCAAAATATCTAAATGTATGTAAACATAGCCTTCATTCAAAGAATTGCAGAGTCTAGTTTCTCTTCGTAGTTCTAGTTAAAAAAGTGTTGTAAAAACATTGAGAAAAATCTTCGCCCAAACAGTTTGAGGTAGACATGATGATATTGTACATGCTCAGGAGCCTCTCTTGACTTCATCGGTACTGAATCAAATACTCTGGATATATTTGATTTGGATCAAAAATAACAAAAATAGTGGGATGATTGATATCATTCACACAGCTGTAATGGGAGTTTTCAGAACTTCCATGATCAGGTTTTTGGAAATGAGATTTTCCAAGATTTGATGTCCCGATCATCACACGTGCCACAAATATTACTTTAGTGTGTTCACCATGTACACCTTGTGTTTTCACGCCAAAAAATGGTAATGGATCCGTGCTGCTCGTGCTGTATTTGTCTGCATATGTTGCATGTTTTGCAAAATATATTCCTAAATAAAAACAAACTTAGATCAACTGGGGAATCTCTGGTGAACAGCTAGACCATTACAAGTATTTTCATTGAATATATAAGGCTGCACAGACAGTTATTACTGTTTGATTTAACTTACCTTTGCCAAATGAGTGGCCATGTTGCCCAGCTAACCGTACATCAAAGTTATACTTGCAAATGTTGTCAACATTTCTGATTTCAGTCCCATGAAAGAGTCTTCTCTCTTGAATTTCATTGACACTTTGAATTCTCATTAACTGTATTTTTTTCCTTTAAACACAAACAAGGAGAACAACCATTTTAATTACAAAGAAGGGGAATGATGAAGGAAATGGAGGAAGCTAAATTCCTTTCAATGTACTTACCGACAAAATATTTCCCATAGATCCACATTCTGTATCCTGCTGATTGAGACAATGGATCTGTCTAACAGCCCATCATTCTTCACATAACCTGACACAGTCTGATACTCTGGGGTGAGCTCTCCCAGAGGGATCAACTGTAAAATACGCAAACACATAGACTATTAACGAATATTCAGAACCGTCTTTGAATCCCTGTTTCTTATTTTTTTAATAAACATTTATAAGAAATGAAAAAGAAAAAGTTCTATAAAGTCATTCTATAAATTGGTTCTATAAAGGTCTATCAAAAACAGTATGAATAACACTGATACAAGAGCTAACTACTTTGAGAGTCCCTTTAGTAGTACATTTTTTAAACTTGGTATTGTTTACTATTAGCTACCATGCTAATCAGCTAACTTGCGCTTATGCCTCTCAAATATTACATTTGAGTCACCATGTTAAGCATCTGTTTTTCTAAAAGATAATAACCCTGTGACCGACCACCATCTTGATAAAATATATTCCATTTGCTGCACAATAAAATAGATTTTAAACCCATTTTTCAAGCTACAGTTTTTTCTCCTAATCCAAACAAAGACGCTAGCTGGAAATTTTTGCGTTATTTAGACAAAGTGAGCTAAAATGTTCAGTCTATCAGTCTATATTGACGTTACTTTATTTTATTTCATATTTCAGTATAAAACATGTTAATATTTGTACAGTGGATAGGCTATAGAGTAGCACCTTAAGAAATGGATTAAACATTTCTTTCATAACAAGGGCTAGAAGGAATAAGGGAGTTGTTGTTTTTTTACTTTAAACCTCAATATCTCAAGACTACTCACAACACACATAGAACCTTATAATTCCATGGTCACTTTGAATACATTTCTGTTATTCACACTGTTGAGTTTTAAAAAGTTACAACAATCTTAATGTATTCCAGTGTTTCAGTGCTTTTCTTCAAATGTAAAACTGCAGGATTTTAGGCCAGGCAATTGCATTAGAATGTTGATTAAACTATTGTTTGTATCCTCTTTGTAATGTGAACAAAACTGACACCTCTTTGTTTAAGTGCCAGAAGGACTGTTTTGTTTTGACTGTTTCATTGACACTTAAGATAGGGTGTCAACCATGATTAGTTTAGAGCAAAAGACAGTTTATTCCTGTAGATTGAAGGGGGGTTTCATGTCTGGGATCAGTGCTCTTTTGTTCAACCAAAAGGTAGAACAGTAAGGTACACCCGTCCCAATTGGATGGCGAAGAAGTTAACCAAACGACCAATGGCTATGGACCTAAGCCATTTGGAGGAAAAAGACCCGCCCACATACCTGGAGGATATTAACAATTAATTTTGTGAGAATCAGGACTGTAAGCTGTAAATCTGAAAAGAGGAACAACTTTCCAGTCCACTGCAGTGTTTTTGTTTCATGTTTGTTCTGTAATGCCATCTCTTTATTCACTAACTTTTGTAATTAAATCTTTTTGTTAATTTTAATTGGACTGAGCCTCTCCTTTCTCAAAATCTGAAGAAACGCAACAACACCTGATATGGTCTGGTGGGATCAACATTTTCCCAGAACACAGGAGCGGTATTGAAGCATGAACAACTGTGGGAGAAAAGAATCACTGGTTTGCATTGTGGTTTCACTTTCATTTTGCAAGAAACTATTCTGAAGCCTGAGAAATCCACAATCTACTCTTGTGAGTGTAAATGATTTCTTGTATTTACATGTTTTAAGTTTCATTTCACCTTCTCTCAATGTTGTAGCCTCGTTGGATTCTTCTTTGCCTTCCTGTGTTGAGGTCAGTCTGTAACATGGCTGTGTAAGGACACAGAAGTCAGATCAACCAAATTCTTTACAGGTAAACGAGGAGATAATGTGAACAAGTAAATGTAGCCAGATACCTGAGAAATCTATCTTCATGTGACAACTGGGTGAAAGCGGAATTAAAGTGGCTTTTGAGTTTGTTTGGTAATATTTTTCTATATCTTCACTCATAAGAGGGTTATTGGGGTCATCCTGCAGGATGGACAGAAGGCAAAAGAAGGTTAGCGATGTGTCATCCTGCTCTTCAATTTTTGTAAAGTAATAAGTTGTGATTTAAAGAAATGTTCAAAAGTTTACCTCAAATCTGTGCCACCTTCCACAGTCTGCCAAGTAATACCAACACCATGGAATGTCTGATGTGTCCATGTACTCCACTTTGTCATTGCCCCACATTGTCTAGAAAATTAAATAGATATCACAAAAACCAACCCTTCCTCACTCTTATTTACTCAGATAGCTATAAAGCTTGATGTAGGTACTTCTGGCTCATATAAACTGTGCCAGCCTACCTCAGAGCCACACCTCTGAGGTAGGCTGGCTCATTTCTGTTATGTCCTCTCCCCTTCGAAAATGTTGAGACATCATTTACCACGCTTACGTTCAAAAGTTTATTAGTTGTAACATGAGCTAAATACAGACACACACATTTAGCGTCATACACCCCTACACTCAGACACAGCTGTAGTGTTATGACATCGGGTTGTGTCTTGACTTGTCTGCATTTCCTTTGGGGAAATGCAACAGTTGCTAAAGCTCCATTCTTGTACTGTTACACCCCCTTGTGGCAAACTTAGTACTCTGAATACATTTGTTGTTTGTTTTCCTTGTTCAAAAACACACACACACACACACACACACACACACACTCTCATTCATACAAGGAATTCAACGAACGCACACAGCAAAGCAATATTACATTGTGTGGTTAATTTTCATTACAGTACTATACATGTGCTGGCTACATTCTTCTTTTTTTGTTGATAAATTTACACCAGGGGCAAATATAACCTCCTTCTTCCTTTTAAAGAAAACGTGGTGACATCACACTTGGGTGATTTTAAGTCATATGTGATGCTAAAACTGATCTTTTTCTGGTTTGGAATTAACTTTGTTGCAAGCGCATACAAAATTCAACCCCAGTCATTGTCATGTCTTTTAAAGACTGGAGTCAATGCTCAGAAAAGATACAAAGAATTGCTCAAGGACCACAAGTGAACAGGACATCACAACTTTATGTCATTGTGACACAATTACAAAACCTTTCATGGAAAGGGGGGAAAGTACACTGATGCATGGTTAAAAAAATGTAGAGGTAGAAGCGTTTAAAAAAATAAATAAATAAACAAAACAAAATATAAATGCCTACATAATACACAGATGTTGGTGTTGCTAACTGACATGATGTGGGTGTCGGTGTTAAATGAGTGAGCAGGAACATGTTGTGGTTTTTGGTTTCATCATTTGGAATTATGTCGACATGACTTATAAATAAGCTCATGCGTGGCACTGTGGATGTGAAGGAACGCTGTGGCTGATGGCATCACCTATAACCTAGAGGCTGCAAGTGCCACTCTTATTTTAAACAACTGTGCACAAATATCAAACAAGCAAGGACAGATTCTGCATTTAATACAAAATTGTCACAAAGGCTGTTCTTTAGTCAGTATTTTTGTCCTTTTTAAGTCACAGAAACAGTCCCACCACAAGGGCCCGTCTTAGAATGCATTGTACAGTACACAAACTGTACACAAAGTCTTTACTGTCTTCTTGATTTTCCAATTTCCCCAAAGGCACTTTAGATGATTCCATGCTCCAGTTAGGCGTTGGATCAGACTGAAAGAAAACACGGCTTCTTTTTCCATTTCATCCCGTCATGTTTGAGATGCAGCCTCTATTTAAAAAAGAACAGTGTTTCTTCTTGTTAGGCTTCAGTAGAACTCAATCAGATACTCTGGGTAGATCTGATTGCTGTCAAAAATGACATAAATCTTTGGATTGGCCATATCATCCACACAACTGTCATAAAAGTTGGTGAAGCTGGCATCCTTGGAGGGTGGTCTACAGTACATAGGATGACCGACCGTGTATTCTCCGACAAGCACTCTGGCCAAGAACATGGTCTTGTAAGGTGGCTCACTAGCAAATATTGGCGGGGTGAGGCCATGTCTCTGCAGGGTGGTGTTGTGCTTCCCTGTGGTGTGGCAGAATTTACTGGAGTATTTCGCATCCCGGGCAAAGTAGCTCCCTGCGGGAAGGGACATTGAATGAAATGTTTAAAATCAGACAAAAAAATGTGTAGTGAATTGTTTCACAATGTTGTTACATCACAACACAGAAGGATCTACCTTTGCCATATACATCGCCATGGCTTCCTGTCAGCCGCCAGTCAAAGTTAAAAGTACATATAGCTTGTATGTTGCTGTGTCCTGTGCCATGAAACAGCATTCGCTCCTCAATATCCAGTGTGCGCTTGACTTTTCGCAACTGTGTTTTCTTCCTTAGGGGAGAATCAAGGAACGGACAACACAACAACACATAGCATTGATCATCACTTTGTTACAAAGTGTATTTCCAAAGGGCTACAGGGATGTGCTCAAAACTACAGTGTGACTGACTTTCTTGGGAAAAGACAGATGTTGCATCAAAATCAATTAAATGTTTCAGGAAAAGTAAGAAGCCTCTGATTCTGTTGATTTACTTTAACAGAAGAAAAGCTTTGTCTGCAGCAGGAGCTGGGAAACGCACCATTCTATCTCTTGCAAAGGCAAAATTAAAATGACCCAGATCACAGTCACCATCACAGCAGAATCCTCTGCTATCACAAAAGAGTGTGTCGGACATTGTGCAGTCCACTCACAACAATATAACAATTGTCTACCTGCAGAAGAATTCCCATAAGTCCAGGTTTTGAATCCTCTGGATGGATTTGATTGGGTGATCCATAGTCCTTTCATATAGTCTGGCGACTTCTTTAAACTCATAAGTGTCTCTTCCAAGCTGGATGAGCTGGCAAAAAAACAATACCACATGGGTTAAACAACTAAATATTCTCAGTGTTGGTTATATATGCATGATATGATGATATATAAAGTTTGCATTGATGGAAACCTGTGTAAACTAGAATGTGTATGAATATGTGTCTCATTATTTAATATTTTATTCCTATTACTATTTTCTTCCAAGTAGATAAACCTCATTAAACTCATGAAATACATTGCCTCCTGTAAAATGGCAGTGATTTAAGATCACTTCAGCAGCCAACACAATTCCCAAATCCTATCTCTACTGTTTGTTTGGGGTGAGATGCAAGTTGACAATATAAATGTGCTGCTGAAATATGTGCAGGAACTATGTTACATCATTGAGTCAGCAAGGACCAAGATCCATGTGGAACATTTTCAGCACCTTCTCAATATAGACCTTGAATAAATTTGACTCTTCTGGGGCAAAATGCTCACCCTACTGAGTACCAACAATATGAGTGTTCTATTATTTTACTCACCTGATAGGGCTCGTCTGTATTGATTCTCTCCCAATGACACGGAACAGGCAAGGCAAGATTATCGCAAATAAACCTGACAGAAATAGAAGGGAAAGAGAGAGAGATAAAGGGTTAGTAATTGAATTGTTGCAGCAGTATAAGACCGAGTGAATTTATTTTATGTCAGTACACCAATGGCATTTATGTATAGCTGCAATAAAGAAAAAACCCTCTTCTAAGACATGTGTTCTTAATGCTGAAATCTTCTTTCTTTCCTTCTCTTGCTTCTTGGGTTTTTGGAGAGACCAAAATTCAGGGTCAATTGCAAGGCAGCTCCATGCGGAGCTGGTAAGGAATTTAGGGTCTACATCAAGGATTCCTGAGGCTGGCAGATGCTTGAACCCTGACCTTTCATTTAAAGGATGGCTCCTTACTCACAACCCCATCTGTCTTTCTCCAACATCTTTTCTTTTTCAGATGAAGGGATCAACTGAAGACAAAAAAGTTCTTGGATGTCACCAAATCTTACCTGAAGCCAGTTGCAGAGTGGAGGGAGCGTTTGATTGGCCGCTGCTTCCCTGTCGTTACGTTTATCTGTCGCATAACTAGAAAGAAATTTAACAAAGATTAGAGCCACAGGAACTCATACTCATGCCCTATTTTCTGAAACAAACACCAACATTCTTGACTACTTTCCTTTAATAAGTCTGGGGGATGAATATTCTGTCTAACTCATCATCATACCTGAGAAGTCCAGTCTGTAGGTGTACTTGGCTGTGTAGAATTCCATGACGCCTCGCTGGTTTCTGCTGTAGCACTGCTCAATCTGAGCACTAGTCACAGAGCAGGCAGCACTGGGGTCAATCTGACATGGAAATTGAGAAAGATAAATTAATCTGATGGAGGGCTAAAGCAATTAGTTGATTATTTGATTAGTCAATCTACAGAAAATGAAATGTAAGTAACTTTTCAAGCACAAAAAGGTGCACATTTGTTAGTTTCCAGCATCTTCGTTGGGGGCATTTGCTGCTTTTGAGTTTTGTTGTGTTGGTCAGACAAAACAAGTAATTTGAAGTCACGTTAGGCCTAAGGAAAGCACTTTACAGAGAAATTGTTGAGAAATTAATCTGCAGATTGATTAATATTGTAAATCATTGTGCTCATCAGTAAATTGTTCGTTAATCATCCAGTCCTGGTCTCTGTGACTAACAACATTGTAGAGCACATGGTAACGTCTTTAAATGTTTTGTTTTGTCTGACCAACAGTCCAAAACAAAAAATATTACATTTACAACAAAGTAAAGCCAAGAACAGCAACAAATTCTCACATTTGACAACCTGGACTTGAAAATTAACTTAAAGGACAAAGCCCCAGTATTGACTAATTTATATACTAAAGTAATGGATTAATGGAAGTTAACAATGCAATGAGATTGATAGTAATCATTTGCCACTGACTGCTTTTTTTCATGCCAACCAAAGACTTCAAGGAATTTTATTGACTAATGGACCTCCACCAATGAGGAAGAGCTAGCCTTTTACATTGCACAGAGTTGTATTTGATTGGCATTAAAACCTGCACACTTTTGGCTCTCAGTTGCACAAAATTAGAGACCCAGAGGGAGGGGCAATAGGCGGGGGATACCGTTTAAGGACGGTTGGAAAGTGTGTTGTGTTGTGATGTGTGAAGTTGTCATGTCCGGTGAACTACCTCAAACATATGCCACACTCCACATTCAGCCAAGTAGAACCAGCACCAGTTGGGATCTGAGGTGTCCATCTCCTCAATCTCAGCGGACTCCTCATCTGACGATCTGATGGCTAACATAGCTAAATCTGAAATTAATAAGTGAAAACACGCGAACACACTTAGGCAAATAGCACCTCTAAAATTTAAAAAAAGAAAAAAGTATTGGGGGGGCCAAGATGGTGTTTTATTCGTGAGACAAACCTAACGTCAAGGACATGTTTTTAAGCCATTGTCGTGAGGGCATTTCTTCCTGCGAACAAATTCAAAATAATACAGGAAATTGCCATATCGAGCTAGCTATTATTAGCGGCTGCCGCACCCGACTCTTTGTTAACTCTACGGGTGTCTTACCGGCTTTAGACTGTCTCTAACTGAGTTCCTGTCCTTATCGGGATTTAAGTCCTTCGTGCATTATGAATAAGTCACCACAAAATGTACAGACTCGGAATGAGAATGGATGACAAACGATACATAACATTTTCGTCCCCCTATGCGTTGTTTACTTTTATTTCCTGGTTCGTCACTCACGTCAATGCGTCAACGTGCGTCAACTCCTCCCTGCTGTGAATAAGCGCTGTTGCCCAGAGCTTGTTCCGTCAGGTAGACAATCTGTCCAGATGCCGCATCCATAAAATGGTTTAATTAAGATTAACTTGTGCATAGATAGTAATCACATAAAAGGCTGTGGGTATAGAGGTTGACGCCTGGTATACAGTGCCTAAGCATAGAAAGTATCAATATCAACAACAACTTTAATTATATAGCACACTTAAAAACAACCAAGGCTGACTTAGGTGCTTAACAGGGTAAAAGTAAAACAATAAAACAGTAATTACAAAGTAAAAGTACAGCAATAAAACGTCAATTAGAATGTATAGCCTACAGTATGTCATAGACTATATGATAGGCCTATATAATGATAATAAAATCGCCTAGGCTAATAACTTTCTTAGCTTAAGTATGCTACTTAGGTGCATCCAGAAGCATTTACCTAGAAGAGTATCACGTAATACGTAGGAACCTGGGTAATAATAAGACCAAATGGTTCTTTAAAATGTTTTTGCTTGCAACTCAAACGATCTTTGGATTTGGGGGATTCATTTGAAGAAAATTTTAAGTGGTGGAACATTAGCCGCATTTCACATTTGATGATTTTACTGCAAAATAAAAGTGTATTTGTTTTCTAATAAAAGTTACTGTATACACCTTGTGTTATTGTGTTGCCATGGAAAACAAGTTATATTATCATGGTTTCCTATCCAAAGAAGTTTGTCCTATATGACACAACTTGTCCCAAGTTAGGGGTAAAATGAACATGAGTAAGTCCAGTCTATGGGGGTAAATCATTGTAATATCAAAATTACTACTACTTAAAAAAAAAACTAATGCTCTCTTTTGCTCAGTCCAATTTTCAAGAATAACCTAGATACAGGGGGTGGCTCATTTAACCCACTGGCTGGATTTACCCTTCTATATGTCATCAATCAACTATACTTCACCTGAGTCATAGGCACTTTAAATCATTTACTTTTAGTGAAATATTGTAGGGTACTTATAGTAGGCTACACTAATTACTCTAACTAATACTTCCCCGTCTATTGTAAGGTATGTTACATTGTAGTATTTCATATTACACCAACGTTTGCATGGGCATGGCTGGAGAGCCAATCTCTGGACAGGCTGTCCTGCAGGGGACAATCAGTGTGTGCGCGTATGTTTGTGGGAAGCCCGTCAGGGCACGCCCTTAAAGCTTTTCTTCAAACTTCGCTCAGTCAGTCAAGGGATTTTATGTTGTCGGCGCCCACTGCAAACTCACGGGTGAGTTAGGGTATGCATTAAAATCTCTTTTAAGATGCTTAAAATATTTAATTGTTTAGCAGTTATTTTTCGGGGGGCTAGGTTTTGCAATTCGCAGCACGTTAATCGATCATTTCTTTGAAGTCATTTGCAGTTAATGGCATCTGTTTATGTCAGAGTCTCTTTCATTTTGCATTTAGCATTTCTATATCTGCATATATGAAGGAGAGCTGCAGAGAACGTAACATGCATTAATTGCATGTTTTTCTTTATGTGTGCATATAACAGACTGAGAGACCATGACTGCAGAAACAGCCAGAGGGGCTCCTGCTGGAGACTCTGGGCCAGATAAAGAGACTCCTGAGGATGGTGTTCAGCCAAGAGGGAAATGGGCCAACAACATGGAATTCATACTCTCCATGGCTGGAGAAATTATTGGCCTTGGAAATGTTTGGCGTTTCCCATATCTGTGCTACAAGAATGGAGGAGGTGAGGGACTGGGTTTGGAAATACTATGGGTGGATTTTTGCTGACTGTGATATAGAATAAATGGCTTCTGAGGCTGCATAAAAGCATTGCAGATAGGCTGAAAATAAGTTGTAAAACATTTCAGAATACCCCATAGCTTGATTCTTGTCTATAGATTTAAATCTCTTAATGAAAATCGCTGTTTTCTTTGGTTGTTTTGTTACAATTCATGATTTATTTGGCAGGGTCATTGAGAGTTTTCCCCAATAAAAGGGAAAATTTCATAATCTCATAATCTCACTGTTTTTTCTCATAATGCAAATGATCCCTGTCATCCCATTAAGTTAGTTTCAAAATCAACCAAGAAAAACCTTTTTGGGAGATTTGTAGCATAGTCTGTGTTTATCTGTCAGTGTGCTACATTCCATTATTTGTGGAGCTCTGACTCTTCTTCATGGGTATCTATAATTACAGGTGTCTTCTTCATCCCATACTTTGTGTTCCTCTTCTTCTGTGGGATCCCCGTGTTCTTCCTGGAGACGGCGTTGGGCCAGTACACCAGTGAGGGTGGGGTGACCGCCTGGAGGAAGATATGTCCCATGTTTGAGGGTAAAAACAAGGCTTTTTTTTTTTAATTACTCAGAATTTCTCTTCACCAGCTGACATGCATGAAATGAATGATTCAGTGTTTCTATCCAGACCCCCCAAAACAAAATGACATTAGCCTTTTTGAGTATTTTAGACTATTAGAGATATTTTCTGAGGAATGCTTAAAAGCTGTTCATAAATTTGATACAGCATTTTTTACTACCTCCACAAAAGTTCAGGAGCGGTCAACCCTATACAATAGCTCCCTTGTGCTGTCAAGCTTGTTTTTGCTCATTATACTGTACATTTCAAACAAGTTGCTCTAAAACAACATTTTATTGATTGTGGCCAGTGCTGGTGGTTGATTGTTCATATCAAATGTTGAACCAAAGCTGTAACTGTTACATAATATAGAAGAAGACAGCAGCCAGAAACATTCACTGTGTCCTGCAGGAGTGGGGATTGCGTCTCAAGTGATCGTGGTCTATCTGAACATCTACTACATCGTGGTGTTGGCCTGGGCTATCTTCTACCTGTTTTACTCCTTTATAAGCCCCCTGCCCTGGTCCACATGTGACAACTGGTGGAACACTGGTAAGGCACCCTTTGTGACAAATCATGCTATCTTGTCTATCACGTCTGTATTTGATTAGCAGTGCGCTTACAGATTTTGTTGTAGACTTCGGAGGAAGCACAAGAGGAATTCTCTTATACATTTTAACATTTTGAAGTGTGCGAAATGCAACTCACCTCCACCTCTCTTTCCTCAACCTCTTAGACTTATGTCAAAGTCGCCTCAGCATGTTTGCCAACCCCCATTTGTTTCACCCTGACGCCAACTGGTCATTCTTATACAACATCACCTCACCTGACTACTATGGGAATCTCACTTACATGTAAGATGCATGTTTATTACCAAGCTGTATCATGAATGTAACTTATAATTGTGACACATACCGAATGCATAGGGGGAATTCATCATATTAATGTGATACATGAATAGGATGATAGAAAATATTTCATGAATATTGGCTGCGATAGATGCAACAGTTTTGGGACATGTGTTCAGAGCAGGAGATTTGTGCATCTGTTACTGTGATAAAAACTATGAATTGCTGCCATGGGAAAGTTTCGGGGTGAAAATTACACCCAATACATCTATATGACTTCTCAGGCCTTCGTTTAATAGTGGTTGAAAAAACAAGCGGGGTGTCAAATGGTAGAAAAACAGCTTGTTAAAATAATAGTTTGACATTTTGGGAATTACACTGTATCTTCTTTCTTGCCAAGAGTTAGATGAGAAGGTTGATACCTCTCTCATATAGTAAATATGAAGTGACAGCCATATAGCTGAGCTTAGCGTAAAGACCGGAAACAGCTAGTTTGGCTCTGTCTAAGAAAAATTGTTGGGGCTTTTATGTTCCAGACTATTTCTTAATCAGAGTAGTATCGATATTCTCATTTATTGGCAAGCATGTGAATAACAATGATTAATGAACAGCAATAGTAACATGCCATAAAACATTGTTGATTAGTTATCTGTGTGATAATGTTTTAAAACATTATAACAGCATCAGAGAGAACTTGACTGATTATCCAAAAGCTAAGCAATGTTTAGAATTTTCATTTGATTTCATCTCACTGTACTTTCTTGCCTGTTAATTTTTTATATTTCTAGGAATGATAGTGAACTTGTCCTGATAGCCAAGTCACCAGAAGAGGAGTTCTGGACGTGAGAAACACACACACACACACACACACACACACACTTATTTTCTCAAAACATGAAAAAACTCTTTGAGAGTAATACCATCCTCCCCAGTGTGCTTGTCCATGGGTGGAACATTCCAGATACCAAAAGGCCATCTTTACCCATGGGTGCTGAATGAACAAAAAAATTATTAATGGTGAACCTACAAAAGGTGAACCAAGGTCACCCAAACGTAGCAGGGAAAATGGGCCAGTTACATTCAAAGAACATTGCCATCCTCATTTTTTTCCCTCTCATTTTTAGATATTGCGAAACCATAGCTGCTGCTCTTCACATGATACTCTCCTGATTTGCTGCTAGAAAAGATATTGGGAAATCACTCAGCTACATACAGCTACGCTGCACGATGGGAATCATATGCACTCTTATCCCTGCAGATTGTATAATACAAACTGAAGCCCTCCAAAATAAACTGAGATTTAAACATCTGTATTTATGATGCAGATGTTTGGCCTATTTATCTGTATTTAAATTAGTTTCCACTGTCACAGACACACTAAAAGGAAACATGCTGTTACTCGTGCTGTTAAGCTGTTTATTTGCAGTGGGAGAAAACTTTTGAAAGAAGAAACAAAGTGTGTTTGTATCTGTACATCCATCATTCTGTGTGTTATTTGCAGAGGATACAGTTGCACATTTGTGTTCACATGTCTGATCTCTTCCCCACAGTAACCGTGTGTTAAGAATATCAGAAGACATGTCCCTGGTTAAGGTGCACTGGGACCTGGCTCTGTGTCTTCTGGTTGCCTGGATTATATGCTACTTCTGCATCTGGAAGGGAATCAGATCCACAGGAAAGGCAAGCACTGCTTTAGCATACGTATACAGTACCATCCTGATATTAAGTTGCAGTCACTTAATGCTGTGGTTCCTAACCAGGGGGTCAGGAGTCCCACAGGTCACAAAACAAAGATGATTTATAGCACAATCTGAGAAACACATGTTGCCCATGCTCCAAGGATTTACAGGAAACAATGCTTTGAAGACAAAATCCAGGACATGCATGCAACACATTTGAAAACGTACACTAAAGGTTTCTTTCCACTAGACTTAACACAAGATGATGATTGTTAAGAGTTCTGAGCACCCTCTCAGTCCACGGTTTGTGTGGGTGTGCTGTAAACATATACAGGACCTAGTCTTCTTCCGTTGCCCTCAAGTTATATTTGCTGCCCTAGGTGTTGATACAGGTGTCATTTTGAAAGGAAGTCTGCAATAATAAAAAGTACTTGCAGTTGCCACCAGTATCCAAGATGTTTTCAAAATTAATTTAGATAAACCCACTGTACTGTACCTGCTCAGCATGAGGCAGCAGACAGACAAAGTTAGCGACTAACTGGTTAGCATAGTGGAGCATTTATCAGCTAAGGAGCCAGGTATTTTCCTTTAGGAGTTGGTGGAGACCAAATAAAGAGCTAAAAGGACAGTGAATACCGGACCTACAGTCTCCAGGTAACCAGAAACAGAAATACAAATAAATGCTAATGCTGCTCCATGTCTGGTATCAAATAAGACAACAGTTTTCTAAAACTTGTTATCAACTTTACAAGGTGTTTTCTGCCCCCAAGTGACCCAAAAAAATCACATAATACAGGTTTATTGTAAAGACTGTTTGTGTGTACATATGAAATCATAACCTACCTGTTTGTTTCCATTTTTGTGTTTGTAGGTTGTGTATTTCACTGCTACGTTCCCCTACCTGATGCTATTCATCCTTTTCATCCGTGGAGTGACACTCCCAGGAGCCGTGGAGGGGCTGAAATATTACCTCTTCCCTAATTTAAGCAAGCTCGCTGAACCAGATGTAAGAACTCATTGTCATAATCAACTGTTCTTGTAGCTGTGTTTGCTTTTCATATACAACATTACACCCACAATACATAGCCATTTCGCTGCCATCTGAAAATCTGAGGCTCTAAAGTAAACACATGCAGAAAGAGTCAGAGCGTTGGTCTCACAACCAACCAGAGCATCATCTGTCTCTTTATTTATCAATACTTCTCTCTTTGTTAGATTCCTCTGTCCTCTAACATGATGAACACAGTGTCCTGTTATTTATTCTCTTCCCCCCTCCATCCTCTTTGGCTTGACTCTGGTTTCCGGTCCCAAGACAGTCTTAACAAGAAAAGCAAACCAAGATCCTTTTTCAGTAAGGAGTTTGTCAAAGATAGCTTTCCCACTGAGTATGCAGTAACATCATCACACAGGAGTAATATCAGTGGTCTCCATGGAGAATTTCTCATACATTTTCAGGGTATATTTCCCTGGAAAAAGTCAACATAACTTACTTTAAGATGAAAACCAAACTCAGGAATTTACAATCATTGCAAATTATACATTTTTATTTTCATAAAAGACTATCCATTTATTACATTCTTACAGCAGGTCTGTTATTCACTCAGCATAATGATGTAGTGAATAATAGTAAATAAAAAAACAGAGGGTGTGTTCTGGATTTTTTGGCATACTCTCGCACAATGACTGCATCTGTTTCTGCCAGCAACGACTTAAGAAAAGGGGTCTTTCTTGATCATCACCCCTCTCCCTTGCCCTTTTTCTCTTTCTCTCTGTTTTCCTCCTGAAAGTTCACGGCTAAACTCTTAGCTTCAAGGGTCAAATGTGATTACTGGAGGGTTAAGCCTCAGAACTGGTCTTTGTGGTGGTGGGGGGGTCACTTCTTTACATCTACTGTGGGCATGTTGGTGTGCATTCATCCATGGGTTTCTGTGAACATTCAAACTTGACTTAGTGGGACTGATGTTACACAAAGATCAGAAAGGGGTACCTTAATATTTCATGTGATCCATTTGGATGCATCATGCCCCTCAATTGAAGGATCTTATCATCTCACTTTTCCAGTTCGAGTTAGAAGACAAAATGTTGCGTGAATTTCACTATGTAATCATGGAAAGAAAGGGGAAAGGGGAAAACTGTGAGAATATTATTCGGAGTAACATTGAATGCAGGTGAAAGCAGTTATGGTTCAGAGAGCTGAGTTATGCAATGCCAGATGCTCTTAAAACAGATCTGTTTCCAAAGAGTCTTGCTTTAGCATGCAAGTTTTTTTTTTCAAAACCACAGAGGAAATCATAATGGAGCTCTGGCCTGCATCTGGGGTCTGTTTAATGTGTGAATGTGTCTACTCTAGTCCATGTGTCAGAGTGTGTGTGTGAATCTGTATGCAGTGCAGCCAAGAGGACTTCAAAATAAAACACATGCTTCTAAGGACACAACAGTTTCCTCTTTGTCCAGTGTCAGATGTAAAGATCCTTTGCCACAGACGTAGGCCTCCATTTCTGACCCGAGGCTGTGAATAAGTCAGGCCCACCATGGGGCCGGAGAAGGGGCCTGCATATTGCTGTCGAGCCTTGCCAAATGTATCTTTTAGTGGGAGTGACTCACTACGCTGTGGTGCCTCTTAACATTAACCATATGGGGTCGGAATGAGAGACAGGCATTCCTGTAAACAAACCCGCCTACACTCACAAACCTGGATACTCACAAATACCAAAGCACATGTGGTAAACAACTCGCGTAGTTGTGAATGCAGTGACACCGTAACAAAACACAGGAAGATGTCAATTCTGTAAATCTGTATAATATACATGTCAACACACAGAAATAGTGTCATAATTGATGCTGGCGTAAAGCAAATGTGTTTGTTATTCTACAGTTCTGGTTAATTGTTTTGACCTGACAAATGTTTTTTTACTGCTCTGTGAGGAAGGAAGCTGATGAAAAGCACACTGTATGTTTAGGTTCCCTCTCAAATGTGTAAAGTCACTCTCGTACCCACTCTAGGTATGGCGTGATGCAGGGACCCAGGTGTTTTTCTCCTATGCCGTGTGTCAGGGAGTACTGACAGCTCTGGGAAGCTACAACAAATACAACAACAACTGCTACAGGTCAGTGTCTTTACACACAGACACGTTTCTCTCAGCGCATCATCACATTTACAGTTTAACATTCATGTACTTTTGTTTTTGGTATGTTGTAGGGATTGCTTGGCACTGTGTTGTCTGAACAGTGCCACCAGTATCTTTGCTGGTTTTGCTGTGTTCTCAGTGCTGGGATTCATGTCTCATGAACTGGACATACCAATGAATGAAGTTGCTACTGCTGGTGAGTTAAGTCCTCCTTTTTAACAATTGCATGCTTTTTTTGACAGCTTGCACTGTAAACTTTATTTAATAAATGCCCAGGTTGAAATATCTGACAGCAGTTGTATTTATTTATGCATTGTTGGGCTGCAACTAACAATTATTTTCATTATCAATGAATGGCTATATCTATAAAATGCCAGAAAGTAATGAAAATGCCCTTTTATAATTTCCCACAGCCCAATTTGACATGTTCAAATCTCGTTTTGTCCAACCAATGATCCAAAACCCAAAGATAAACAGTTTACTATCATGCATGAGAAAAAAAAGCATCAAATGCTAACATTTGAGAAGCCAGAAACAGCAAACACCTAGCATTTTTGCTTAAAAAAATGACTGAGATGATAATTTGAACATCAAAATAACTGTCGATTAATTTTCCATCAATCACCATTTCAGCTCTAATGCATTGTGGCTTTAATTCTGATGGTGAGCACAACAACAAACAATGTCCACAAGATGGCATCTAATGGTCACATACAGTTAAAAGATTTTGTACTTCAAAGATTGGAATTTCTAACATCCTTTTTCTTATGAAATGCTGGATTCTTCCCTAGGTTGATAAAAATCAAATTAAACAATTGAAGGGGTAAAAAATAATCAGTTTTAACTGTCCATAACTCATGTCCTTACTAAGGCTATAACAATAGATTCAGAAGTCATTTTAAATTTTCAAAAGCCAGAACGGTTGGAAACTACTACGGTAAAGTCCCTAGTCATGAAGATAGAAGCACACTGTCATGTTAATAGATGCATTCGTGTGGTTTCTACAGGTCCTGGTCTAGCTTTTATAGCCTATCCAAAGGCTCTGTCGTTGCTGCCTCTTGCATCCTTCTGGGCTGTGCTCTTTTTCCTCATGGTCCTCTTCCTGGGCCTGGACAGTCAGGTATTGTATGCAATGCATCAAATACAGTGTTTCAGCATTATATTGTATGTTCAGATAAACTAATCCGTTTCACTTCTGTCCTCACAGTTTGTGTGTGTGGAGAGCCTGGCCACAGCCCTCACAGACCTGTTCCCACGTCACCTGAGGAGGCCGTGTGCCAGAGAGTTGCTGGCCCTGGTCATCGCTGTTGTCTGTTTTCTACTGGGGCTGCCACTCATCACTGAGGTAAGCAGTAGGATGAGTAAATGGAAAATATAAGAAAAGAGAAGATGAAGAAAATCAGATAATTATAATTATCGTTTGGCTGTTTCAGTGATGTAGATTAACTTACAGTTTTTCTCCATTGCTTAAACACCAAGCTATAATAACCAGGCTTTTTAACTAAACTTTCTAAATCTTAACTCCATTTTTCAAAACGCACATCCATTTCCCTAAACTCTACACACAAATCCCTTCATTTCTCATTGCCTACACCATGTGGCCATTGAGAAAGCACTGACATTCAATATTGTTCACTCAATCAGCACAGGTTGAGCTCAATTAGCACACAGCTACCCAGGTGAAACACAAACAGTCATAATTGATAACACACCAATCGGGAGCTTCAATAGATAGATTAAATGTCAGAGTCAGTTAATTCAGTTTTGGAACAATGCATGTGGAGAAATCTGAAGGAAGAGGTAGAGGACACCAGAGAGGAGGAGGAGGAGGAAGAAGAAGAAAAAAAAGAAAAAGAGGAAGAAGAAGAATAGCAGTGTGGAGAGGAGGAAGAGGTGAAGGAAGAGGAACAGTAGGAGTTAGAGGAGGAGATGGGACAGGAGGAAGATGAGGAGTAGGAGTAGGCGGAGGAGGAGGGAGGAGGAGGTGAAGAAGGAAATGGAGGAGGTAGAGGAAGGAGGAGGAGGTGGAGAACAAGAATCTCTGGCTTGTCCCAGACCAAAGACAGGGACGCTGGGGTAGAAAATCTGTTGTTTGGTGTGTTGTACTATACAGCACACTAAGGAATAAAAAATGTGTGCAAATGTGCAAATGTATACATTTGTTATTTCTTTTGTGTTCATCATGTTAAAAGTTTTTTGAGGGGGAAACCACAAGCAACATAAGTAATAACCAGTTTTTGTAGTATTGTTTTGTATTTTTCTTACCAGTGTGTAAAACTGTGTTGTAGTGTAACTATCAGATGACAACAGGTAGATGTACATCTGCAGTGCTGTGCATAGAAATCTATGTAACTATGTTAGTCGAGTAAACTGTCTAGACAACTATTGGATGAAAAATTAGATCTTCACAGGAAGAATGACGAAATATCTTTAAATTAGCAGCTGTCTATTTTTTTTGCAGTAATGCGAGCATCACCTGATAGATCTTTATGAACACATTCAAATCCTTCAATCATCAGCTTTACATTGTGTTAGCATGCTAGCACACTAAACTTAGAGAGTGAAGATGGTAAATATATGTATAAACATCTGCATATTAGCATTTAGCTCAAAGCCCACAGTATGCATAGCCTCACAGAACTGCAAGCATGGCTGTAAACTTGAGCTTATTTCAGAACTTCCATTTGTACACTTCAGTGTAGTACCCTGTGTACACTTATGTACTTACTTGAGGAATTTGTGAATTTCAACAGGGTAGTGTTATAATAAGTAAGTAATACAGCTAATATGTAATACAGCTAATGTGCACTTACTGGTAATGATGATCGTAATATGTGACCACTTCTTCTTCTTCTTCTCTTTAATGCCGAATTTCAACTAGATGGAGCAGTATCGGTAACATCACTCTGCAATTGTCAGTTCCCATATCGCTAGTCTCACCAAATTATCTGTGATGAACCATATTTGGAATTTCAACTTCCTTTACGTTTGTGCTGCAGCTGGATGTACTTGCCTTCCCCTATATAGTCAAGATGGCGACCAATGTGTGAAGTGTCGAGTGTTGTCATGTCCAAGTCAAGTATGGAAGAACGCAAATTGAAACATAACATTAGTCTTGTTAGTTAACAAACTAACCTTGAGTTTATTTTTACAGTGATGTGAGCATCAACTGATATTCAGTAGATCTTTATTAACACATTTGAAAAAAATATACTGATTGAGAATCAGCACTAATTTAATAACATTGCTTTTTTAATACACGTATATATTCATTTATATTTGATAGAGGGCAAGAGAATATGTACACACCAGTTATTAAAGAGTTTCATTTAATGATTTATGGGAAGGTCATGCCCTGCTATGGGATCACTGAGTCACAAGAAATTGCTATATTATGTGGCCTGGACAGTCATAGAAACAATCTTTTCCTTCTGATCATCTCTTCCTGCCTGCCATGACTTTTTTTTCTACTACATGTTTTTTTCTGCTCATGTTTCAGGGAGGGATCGTCCTCTTTCAGCTCATAGACACCTACGGTCCCAGTGGAACCAGTCTCCTCATCATTGCCTGCTTTGAGACCATTGCCATTGCCTGGGTGTATGGTAAGTCACGCCATTGGCCGTGCACTACATGATGCTTTTAATAATGCACTGCGTGCTGCACCTTTACTAACTTTAAATTATTTTCTAAAAATATTTTAACAATGCATTTCTTTTAAATATCTGGTATACAAGTTTTACCATCTACACAATATCAACATCAGTAGTGCACTACATTCACAATAGCTACCAAAAGGAACTTCCACTTTATTTCATGAGTTTTTGCCATCCCAACAGCAGCATTTATTTGATCAGAGTAATCAACTTACTGCATCTGTGTCGTATCTGTAAGAAACCAGCTTCTGATAAAAAAAAAACTCCATGTTCATTTTATTTTTATCCTGAGTTACATTAAAAGAGCTCTGCCAACAAAACAAAAAAGAACATTTTGATGAGATTGAAAAGATCAGAGGATTCTGTTTATTTTTATTTTAGAATATTTTGAGTGAGTGTTTCTCATAGCATTACATATTCCCTTCCAATACTTGTACCACATATGCTGCGGATACACACTTCCAAGCATATGGGGTGTTAGTGCCAGGCACATAGTATCCAGGTATTGGCTTTTAAATTTCAGTGTGTAATATTTAGGAGGTTTTATTATTGAAATGCAATATAATAACTATGTTTTCAGTGGTGTATAAAGACCTTACATAATAACTTGTTATATGTTTATTACCTTAAAATGAGCCATTTATACTACATACACTGCAGGTCCTCTTACATGGAAGTCGCCATGTTGTGCCACCATGTTTCTGTAGCCCAAAAGGACAAACTGCTCTACAGAGCGTGTTTCGTCACTATGTTGAATAAGTACGAAACTTCTCCTATGTGCTTGCAAAGGGAAGGTTGAGCGGTAACTGAGTCTTTGGTTGCAATTCATAACAATCACCACTAGGTGACAACTAAAGGTTAGACACTGAACCTTTAAATAAACTGGGCTCTTGCTCTGTGCCTCTGCGTCGGTCAGAGGCATTATTTTTTTCGTGTTGTCTGTCGGTCCCATCCTAGTGAACGCAATATCCCGGGAATCCCTTCAGGGAATTTCTTCAAAATTTGGCACAAATGTCCACTTAGAATTTGGGTGGGAAAGGTCAAGGTCAGTGTGGAACACGTCCTTGGCCATAACTCAAAAATTGCTGTGGTAATGAAGACAACATTTCACACAGATGTTTATTGACAATGAAGTGATGACTTTTTTTTACCAAAAAAGTCAACGGTCAGCTTACATTGACGGTCAACCTTATAATGTCCTGGAACCACCATAACTCAGGAACAGCACTTTTCCTAATAACTAGCATAGTATGGGCTTTCCTCCATCTCGTCCATTCTTCCTCTCACTTTCCTGCCTCATTCTGAATTTCCAGTGTCATTGAAACTTTGACTGTAAACAGTGGAGTACACCTAGCTTCACTGTTTACCTAGATCCAGTTAGTGAGTGAGGGAGAGAGTTCCACGCCTACAAGCGCTTTTGCAGACAGGTGCTTCCAGTCTTCAAAGTAGATTTATTTGTCACATTACAACAGGTTGTAAAGTGAAATTGAGTTTGTAACTCCCTTCTGCAACATAGCAGACAATATCCAGTAATTTAAAAGCAATTGGTAAACAGAAATAAACTATATATTTTATATATATTTAGGCTAGTATGCCTGGAAAACTAAGGATGCTCCCCTCAGCATCAACTGTTCTTTGTATTTAGTGAACTGAAACACTGCATATAATGATAGATAAAACAATAAATACAGAATATCTCCTGTAATGACCAAAGGACTGTTTTTTGAGGTAAAAAGAGATATATTTGAGAACTTTCAAGAGTCATTCAAGAGTAGAAGTCCATGACATGAACTATTTATTCTGGCAGCAAAGCATTTGCAATTATTTGCAAATTACTTGTGCGTGACTTTTCTTTTTACTCTGACAACGCCTTTTGGTAATTTATTACACTCACTATGGCTTGACTGCTAAAGATGAATGATGGACTTCAGCTGTTATCAACAGTTTAGTTTTCTTTACAATGAGCATTACTTCCTGCAAGCATGGCTGTAGACTCTAGACACACTACACTTTGATACTCCTCTATTTATTACATAACACAGTAACACAGTACATAGATCAATCAGAACATTTCTCTCTGTGTTTTCATCAACATCATTCATTTAACATAACAGATGAAGGGTGACACTGTCAAAGAAACAGACAGTCCCTCTCTCAGCTGAGAGGGTTTGTAGAGTTTGTCTTAAGCCAGAGTGCTCCATCTACTGGACTGAAACTAGAAGCAACACTTTCTGCTGTAAAGTCAGCAGTCTGAAAGAGGTCTTTTCTGCTTCACTCAAACACAAACCTCTCTCTCTCTCTCTCTCTTTCTCTTTCTCTCTCTCTCTCTCTTGCTCCCTCACTATACATATTATACATCTCTATTTAAGTCATTCTTCAATGGTCGTTTCCTCTCTTCAAATGTGTCAGCATTTGCCCATTGCCTTTACTACAAGTGTGAATCTGCCATTTCCATATCCCAGTCTTCCTCTGCCTTCACTTCGAATAAATCTTCTAAGCTCTCACAGCTTCCCACACTTTCATTATCAGCAGTATTACTGGCTAAATTACAACATGTGGGTGGAGAGTTATCCTCCGTTCTCATATTTGTCTTTACAGCTCACCTCTCAACTCTGAAAGTGTCTGTATCGAATACTTTTGTCGAAGTGTTTCCTCTCATGAACCTGGAGGTATTTTTCATTCGTAGAGGCATATTCTGCAAAAGTGCTCTCACAATCACCCTGTCCATGCATGTATCCCATTTCTGTGACTTTGAAAACTGCATTTCCATTTACAAAGAGTGCTTGCTCTTTGGAATTAGGGTCCAACCACACATCTTCTACTGCAAACTGACGCAGAGTGAGATATCGATTGCTTTCCGCAGCTGCTTCCTCTCCCCAGTTCGAAGAGGCAAAGAGGTCGAACGAACGGTTTAAAAACTCAGAGTGAGTCTGTGTTGTGTGTGGAGAAGCTTCCTCGCCCCAAATTTAAATCAGGCCACTCACTTTCCTCCTCCGCCAAGATGTAGGTAGTTTCAGGGCTGATTGCTGTATCATTTATGTAGCTGTGTCTGCTTTACTAAATAGGTTTGACAATGTATTCTGTCATTGAGCATTAGCAAAAAATCAATCTGTGGCTGTTCAATCACTCAGGTCATGTATTTGACCAATCTCATATCAGCTTCCTCCTCTTTTTAATGTCTCTGCTTCTTTCTTAGTTCCTCCCTCCTCCTCTTTGGCAGCTCAAGGTTAGCAGCTTTGTCATTTCATTCCTCCTCCTCCTCCACTCCTCGTTAGCTCATGTCTTGCCAGTCTTCCTCCACCTGATTTTTTTTACTGATATTTAACTTTTAACTTTTATTAACCTGGATATATGCTTTTTATTAGTTCATAGGTTGTTCTTCTTCCTCTTTCCTCCAACCTCTCTAATTGTTCACTCATTCTCCATCGTGTGTTGAAACATCACATTACATGTTCATACCTACAGTCTACCAGAGGAGATCAGGCTCTGTTCCTGGTTTCATCTCACAACTTAAGACCCATTTATACAAAATAGCTTTTAATGTGTGATGCATAATTTATTTCTCCATTATTTGTATATTGACTTGTTTCATATTTAGTTTGTCACATGTTTTACATTGACTGCTGTAAAGTACTTTTGAAAAGTGCTATACAAATAAAGCTATTATTATTATGTCAACATTGGAGTTCTGAAAATAAGGAACATTTTCAGGCACCCCACACCCATTACACTCAGTGAACCCTAAAATCACCAAAATTCTTTTTCGTCTTGTTTTATTGGCAGTTGCCGTTTGTGTGAATGACTTCCCATCACTAGATTTTACAGTTAACGTTTTTTAGAAACGATAAAAATAGGGTACATTTACTGCGAAATATATAAACAGGAGGGTTGACAGTTATGCATGTTTCCCACCAATCAATCAGATGACACATCCAAATAACACTTACATTCATTGTGTGTAGATTAGATTCAATTCTGTTGCTAATGCTGTATTTCTAAGATTTTTTTTAGAAAATGGGACTAAACTATTCTTTTGTATACTTTGCAGAAGTATTTTGGTTTTGCACAGAACAATCCCAGTTTTAAGCTTTTAAAGTAGATCCCCAGTTTCAATACTTCATTCAAGAAAGGAATAAACACGAGTTAAAGCAGGCTGTAAATATATTTTACATATATTTTTTAGTTTAAAACGTGTCATCTCAAAATCTTTTACGTTTTACAAATTGCTTTGATAAAAACATTGACTTTCATACAATGGTGGAACTACTTAAGTAAAAATAACACTACCTCACTAAAAAAATACTCAGTTACAAGTGAAAGTCCTCCATTTTACTTTTATAATATAATAGTTACTAATGTAACTGCAGTATAGGATGGGTAGTTTAATCTATAACAATACATTATTTTTATAAACTGACCATGTTTTTTAACTATCTTTAGATATTAAGTGAATGCAGTCAAATATAAAGTAAATGTATTGAGTAGTAAAAGTATTAAGTATCATATCATGGAAATACTTAAGTGTAATACAAGTACTAAATTTACTTTAGTTACTTTCCACTACTGGTCAAACAACCATCAAAAAAATGGCCTCACCATGTCATTGTGTTTTCAGCCGAGGGTACCGTGTGTTTGAGAGTTTTCCATGTAAAAACAAAACCATATTCCTCCCTTTGATTGACTAACACCTCCCGTCCATGACCTTGCAGGTGCGGACCGTTTCTATGACAACATTGAGGACATGATCGGGTACTCACCGTTCCCCGCGCTGAAGTACTGTTGGATGTTCGTCACGCCGCTCATCTGTGGAGTGAGATACTCATACTTGGGTCACATCTCTCTCTCTTACTTGATTCATCTACTTTGTGTCCTTCTCTCTTCACACTGGCTGTCCCCTTTAATATATGTTCCCTCTCATGTTTTAGCATATATTCATTATTTCCTATCTTATATAACTTTTGAACACAGATCTTTTTCCGCCTTTCATCACCCCTTATTCTTGCTTCTTCCTGTTCCCCTCTCTCCTGGCCTTTCATCTTTTATTGAGTGTTTCACATATTTTCATTTTGCCACATCAGTAATTATGCTTCTGCTTACATATGGGAAAGATGAGAGACTGCTGCCTTTACCTGAAAAGGTGGACTCATCACAGCACAATTCACTGCAGACATGATCAGTGCAAGATCAGAAAGTGTAGTAGGCATATTCATTCTTAATAGGAGGCAGTAAGTCAGTTAAAGGATGTCGTGGAAACTGAAAAATCTGTTTATGTCTAGTGCAGATGAGATTGGTACTCAAATATATATATATATATATATATATATATATATATATATATATATATATATATACCTGATGACACAATATTCAGATTCTCAGTCAATCTTGCAAACCAGAGACATCATCAGCATTACGCAGATATGGCTGAGGAGAGGCAGCTCTTTAGAGTACTTTGAGATAACATGCATTAACTGTAGCGACAACGGGATGCACATGATTTCACTCAAGGTGTTATCGTTCGCACGTCACAACATCTCAAAGTTCCCCCACCTGCGCCTACTCCTTAAACTCCTCATACACACACAGTATATCCTGTTGTTTTGTAGATATACAGAAGGGTGACATATTAAAGAAAAAAACAATATATAGTGTCTTAGAAAGGTATTTGCCACTACATGCCACACAGCCACACCAAGAAGTTAGGAGAAAGTTATATAACAGCAAAAAATACCAGGAGACAAACAATAAAGAGAGAACAACTTTTAGCAGAAGCTACACCTCTGCAAGTGGGAGTCTAGTTCAGCATTTGGTTTTCCTATTTTCCTAGTTGAAATATTTGAAACCATATCATTTCTTCACCATTTGATTTGACGAAGAGAATTAGATTTTATTTACTTAAAGACAGCTTTCATTCTACTTCACACCACCACACTTGTTTTATAGCTGCCCTATAGCTGCCCTCTAATTCGACCATGTCCTGTCCCCTAGCTCACACTGCTGTACAACCTGACACAAATACATCATCTGGAGGTGTATGGTTATGTACCCGGCGCCTGGGGCGCCGCTTTGGGTTCTCTACTTGTCCTCACTCCACTGATGTGCATCCCAGCATTCATTGTGATCACACTGTTTAAGGTGAGTGAATTCAAAAGTTGTATTTTCAAATATAATTTAATATCTTTTTCTCCCCCAGCACTTGTTACATTGTGATGGGTGCATGACTATGTTTCATAACATTACGTTTTACTTGCATTTCCCTCCTAACAATTAGAATCCCAAAAACATGACTAAACCATCCACTGATCTGCGTCAGGCTCGACCAGACAAGCCAATTCTCTCTCTGGGTAAAAACATCATCTTTAAGGCTCAGGGGCAGCCAAACAGTAATGAAGATGAAGGAAATCAGAAGATGACAATGGAGGAACCCAGCAGGGTTTGATGGTTGATAACCTGCAACAATTTATGGTGCATAGATGGTCTCCATAAATTGTACAACTTTGTGACACAAAAAACACAATGTATCATGTAAAGTATGTAAAGATTTATAAATGTTTAGACATTTAATGAGTATTCAGGGAGATCCTGTTTTTTTGTTAGTACATTAGTTGTTGTTTTTTTTGATGAATTCCAATGTTAAAGTCACACACAATATAAATTGTCCTATACGCCTATAATTATATATGCTGTAATTGTCTTTAAATGAAGGAATCAGAATTGATGCAGCAGAACCAATAATTTCATCTTTTTTGTTCCACTCAGTCTTCTTACTCATGCAAACCTAAATTACATACAATGTAACACGAATGCAGTTTGGTCAGAGATGCATGTGTGTTATGCTAGTAGCAGCTACCCATAAGCTGCTAGTCTCAAGCAGATATGAGGAGTGGGCTACAGCGGTCTGGTAAGCTCACTTCTTTCCAACTCCATAACCCCCAGATTGTTTTCATATTCAAACTAGTAGTCTTCAGCCTCAGCTGATGTGACATCACTTGAGGCAGTTCATCACATTTCACCCAGCTCCCTCTGAAAACACATGTGCAGTAATACTCACAAAGACCTGTAAAGAGATTTTGATGTGTGAAAAAAGATGGATTTCTTCCCAAAACATTAACAAGATTGTCCATCAGGAGCACATGTCTATCCGACAAGTGTAAATTGTAGTAGCTGTTCTTCAATGATTTCCAAGGGGCAATGGGCACAGACAAAATGCCTCTGGACGCAATTAGGTAGACCTACAACCAGTCAGAGCAATTTTTGATTTGTAAATTAATATTACCAGATCCTGCTGGAAATACAGCAAACATTTTAAATGCACTTGTTTGTTGTGTATGTTATGTCTAGAAAATATACCGTCCAATTTGTTTACTGACTTGATAACAGATTCAACAGAAACAGTTAAACATCAGCGGCAGCCATGTCGGTTGTTTACCAAAATGACTCAGTGAGTCATCAAATAAAACCCACCCCATATTTGATAAACGGTTGTGATTGACCTGACCGGATCCAGGACCAATGGAAATCTGTCTGAATGGGAGGGGGGCAGGATGTATCTGCCAGAGCAAATTAATCATGAACAATTTAGCCTTCTTCTTTTGTCATTGAGATAATGTTTGTGTTTACTATTCAGCCTGTACATCTCTATTTTAGTCAACCAAATAAGACAGATCATTGTTTTAAAATGTGCATATATTCAAATCTCATTAAAAGTATTGGTATGCTAAATATGGTGAAGCGTGTCTTCTTTGACTCTGTCCACATTGATTTGTGACTAGAGAGGACAAACATTCAATATAATTTCAGGAGGATCATCTTGTCATATTTCCTAATTTGTAGCAATAAAATATATATATTGCACAGGTCTGTATGTCTTCTTCTCCCTAAAAAAGAGCTTTATACACGGTCATGAAATGACAAATAGGCTGTGTGTACTTGTGATGTCACAGGATATTTGTGATTGGTGAGCATGAACTTGATCCTTCATAATGCCAAGTTCAGTCATCTGTGTAATCCAAACTGGCATTCAATTAACAGACAATTCAGCCCAGTTGCCTTCCACCTCTCCTCACCCCCTCACTGCCTCCCCTCTGCCCCTGACGACACAGAATGACCCTCAATCCTGAATATGTATGGCCATGAAAGCTCAAAAGCCCATCAGTGGGTGAAGTGAGTCAAAATGCATCTTAAAATTTACATTACTTTAGTTTTCATCTAAATGAGAAGATACAAATCAACAAGTGGAAGCTTTCAAGTGTTATTGTTAACAAGTGTTGTTAAGTGGTAGGAATATGTAAGTTAATGTGATATTTAGCTCATTGATGGAGCTTAAATTTATTGCAGGTTATCTGAAGATAGATTAAGAACCATAAGTGGTGCAAAAATTTGTGTATTTATAATTAGAGCACCTACCCGTCAGCACTTACATAACCAGATACAGCAGAATGCCAGAGTTCCTGTCATGGAAAAACCCCAACCACAGGCGTTGGTACCAGCAATTGACAATATATCTTCATGTCATAGCCTACAAGGTGCACAAAATAAGGCCAGTGGGACGTAATTAAAATAGCAATCGATCATTCTTTGTTTTTATGTGTCAACATAAGTGATGAAAAATAAAGCAAGTTCATTTTCTACACGCTTAAAATCACTGGGTTAAAAAACACAAAAATGCAGCAACTTTTGTTTGACCAATTATTTTAATGTTTTTTTATTCAAACTAAAAAAATTTTGGACCCAGTATTACACACATCAAACTCAAACTTTTACCTTACTGTTATCATAAATGCATTGTTAGTTACAACATGATGTGCATATGACATTCAAAACAATACTGTTGACAGTCATTCAGAAATAGTAACATGTACATTTCAAAAGAGCTATAATCTGGGCAAATAATAATATAAGAAAGAATAACAATACTGTGTCTTAGATGTGTTTTTTCTATCCATTGGCACGGGTAAAGTTAACTTAGTATCATATTTTTGCTATATTGAGCTGGTCAGTATTGATTCAGTGATATTTAGGGTCTACTTTTATCCTTTTGCTTTTGCATCCAAAAATCTAAGCCAAATCAAACTCCAAAAACACTGAATCCTACATGTCCCATAATGCAGCTTGATAGTGTCTTTCATTTGGCTTTATGTGACTGATAAATACTGACATCTTTCAAAGTAAAAACATCTGAAGTCTTGAGCCCAAGTGGGAACCTCTGGGTCTGAAAAGTGAAGCCAACGGAGAAGTGCCTTAAACCTGCATTCTTTCTAATGGCCAGCAGGGGGCAACTCCACTGGTTGCAAAAAGAAGTTTGATTGTAGTAGACTTAATTAATGGCAAATTGACCCAATTCACACCTGATTTATTACTTCAGTTAACACTTTCTTAATGAGTTTATGGTCTCTGTCGCTAGTTTCATGTCTTCTTCAATGCAGCATGATGTTCATATTGTAAATTATGGTCCCATTTAGAGGAAAATATAGCCATGGCTATCTTGTGATTGACCAGTCACTACCGTGGCAACCTGTCAATCGGGATAAAGGCAGCTCGTATCCACTGCACTGTGCACTGTACATTTAACCAGTGCTGTCGGAAAAGCTTAGGAGTACATTTGTTTTGAGTCTGTTTTTTGCTAGCCGAAATTAGCATCCCAGTTAATATTACCATAAACGTAACCCTCTCGTCAAAATATGGCCTGTCCAGTCAAGTCTGGTTCCAAATAACCATGATGTAGACAGCCAAAATGCCAAATTCGAGGTTTCAGAACTGTGTTCCAAAAACCAATCGGTGAGGTTACAGTGGCTACATCCACTTCTTTAATACAGTCTGTTTGAGCCAAATGTGAGAAAACCTTGATGACATCAATGTGACTTCACCAGGGTTATTTTCTCAGACTTTGGGATGCTCCTTCCAGAGCTACAGAAAACAGAACAACACAGCTAAGATAGAAAATAATTTAAGTGTGAATTAGAGAGATTTAGATGGGTAAAACATTTGCAGATGTGTTCAGAATGTTTGGGCTTAGACTGGTAAATCTGAGCATGCTGGAATATCACATTGAGATAATTCTGATGCATAGTTTACTTCACTAATAAACTGGGATCTTCTCTAAATTATACCATAGCCTTCCCTCGTTATGTCTCATAAATGGCAAAGAGTGAGAAACACAAGTGATGCCAACTCTGCTGGAGACTAAATGAATATAGGGGCTTGTAAAAAACCTAAAAAGATATTTCAAGACTTCCATTAACTTAAACATGGGAGGAAGATTACAGATTGTAAATCCACAGTGGAGGTTCCTTATTTACAAAAGTCATTTTTAAAAATATACGCAGGTATATTCACTGAATGTACACTCGAGTGAAACCACATGTTAACTACTGTATTATTATTTGTATTATTTGTATATACTATTACCATGTCTTGCAATATCCTTAATGCAATTCCATCCAAATTTCAACAGAATTTCCAGAAAATCTGCAAAAGAAAATGCAAATGAATGTGCATTTTCATGAACTACTGTTATGTGAGTATTAGAATGGATGAATCGAGAATCAATTGGTAGTCCTAATTTCCCAGTTGGGTGCCATTAAACCCCTGCAGAAGAAGATGACATAATTAAAAGGATTCCTGTCAAAACTGAACCAATGTGGAAAGCATTACAGTAATATGGCATTTATGTTGGTTTCCTGTGTTCATTTGAGGAAGGTTGCAGTATCCTTATTTGTCCACACATATGTGATGTTTTGTCTCTTCAGTCACATGCTTCATATATTGCGCCAAGTGTAAACGTTATTCAAACTTGCAGAATTTCCTCTCAGATTTTTTCATGCACAAATTGGAAATGCACGTACTATAACAAAAAAGGCATATGAAAATTCACTTTTTGTCCGTAACATTTCATACTGAATATACAGAACACGCATCACTCTGTGTTGCATTGATGGCCGCCAGTCCCTGCTTGTAAATCTTCATCAATGTTTAATGGAGCTTCTGATTGTTTGCTGAGCTCAGCAAAAATTCCCATGGGCCAAGAAGTGTGAAAAGGAAAGATTTGTGACCTTATCGTTCAGTCGACCATTTGATCAAAATCACTAAGATGAAGGCAACACTGAATGCATCACAGTAACAGATTGCAAGTTTCTGCTTGATTGCTTCGATAGAACTTTTATGGTGAAAATGTCTTGATGTAATTTATTATGGGGCACATAAGAACAATGGCTTTGCACACAACAAGGTCAAAAGGATTTCAGACAGTTGCAATGATAAAACATGACTCGGGGGTAATGGAAGGAGAGCAGAAAGAAATGGGGAATGAGGTGGTTGATAGATCTCCAGGGAGGAATAGCACACATTACAGTGATGCCAATGAAACACTACTGGATTCATGTATCAGGCAAATCGTAAATGAAGACATTTCAATGCCCTCTGTCACATCTTTTATCTGATGTCCTCTCTCTTTCAGTTTTTCTTTCTATCTCCAGCGATAGAACAATCTTCTTTGGTGTCTTGCAGTCATTTTCCAGTTTCTATGTATCATTTCATCTCTTATCTATCCAGGCACTATTGCAATATATCAACTTTTCCCATTTTCATCTATTTTTTCATTCTTCCTCCTGACTCGTATCTATACTTCTTTCCTCATTCTTTGCAGTGATGTTTCTATCTCCCTCATCATCTTTAATCTTTTCACTCTTTTTCTCTCATTAACACCATTATGCTCTCTCTGATGTGCAACTTGCCCCGCATTTGCCCGTTACCTGTGGAAATCTATGCAGCATGCATCGTCCTACTGCATTACTGGATGAAAATGGTGGTAATATTAGCCTCCTATCTATGCATGCCAATCGCCTTTGGGTGTTCCTTGCTTTATAATAACCCCCGCATTGATTCACAGACCACGACACGTGCTGTGAATTAAAGGCAGCTCACAAGGAGGCTTCAAAGGCAGCAGGTTTTTTTTCCAAACAGGGACCCTTTTCCGTTATTATTATTATAAGATTATTAAGGTGGATTTTTTTAAACAAAATACATATCTTACACTTTTATGATGTACTGACTCAGAATTCAAGTTGTAATAGTTGAAATTATTACTACTTGTACTTTTCAAAAATATTGCGGGAACTGCATGAGTGTTAGTCTGTATAGCTTGTCCTATTGCTTCTGTTCTGGACTATTTAATTCCGGCTTTATTTCTCTATGAACAAGATAAGTAGTCATGTAGTCATGCTAGTGGCTCTGTCAGACTGGATTTAAATACTAATGTCAGCATGCTAACAAGCTCACAATGACAATGCTAACATGCCAGTGGCTAACCATGATTGCAATCTTATTTTACCAAAGTTATAAGGATGAACAGACTGTAAAACATTTTGTGCCAATTCATCCAGTAGATGATAGATATTTCACTGCTAAGTCTACAATTCCCAATTTCATTGGGATTTTCTGCAACAAAACAACATCTTGGTCAGCTGAGTCATTTATTATATGTATGACAACGCAGTACAGCTTTCTAACTAATGTGAGGGATGAGGGAAGTGCATCAAATATGTAGTCTTCCTCACTAGCAATAGTCTAGCTGTGGAGACTTTTCCCATTCGCATTTGACAATGTATAACTTACAGGATTTATGCATTGTTGACAAAAAATGGAACATATCAGACACTTCGTCTGTCTGTAAAATATAATTATAACACTGGTCCAAAGAAATATTGAGAACTTGAAGAATTGAC